CTTTCAGGAGCACCATCACTGTCTTTTCCCTCGAAAAAGTCATCTTCCTGTCTTCCCCCCACCTAGTGACCAGTTCCAAGGCTCTTGATGCCTTCCTCATGAGATCAGGGCTTGTGTTCGACTTCACCAAAAGCAGTCCGTCATCCGCATAGGCTCTCGCGGAGATACCTTCCTCGAAAGGCAGCCGCAAAAACCCATCGAACAGGATGTTCCACAACAGAGGGCCCACCACAGACCCTTGGGGGCATCCTTTAGTGATGTTCTTGTTCACCTCTCCGTTGCCAGCTCTTAGTGTCACGGTTCTGCCTCGGAAGTAGTCCCTTACCAATCGGTAGATGTTGTTCGGACATCGCCATCTCCTCAAAACTCTCAGAATCTCTGGCCACCAGGCGGAGTCGAAGGCTCCAGAAATATCCAGGAACAAGCCTACTACGTACTTTTCATCTGTCTCTTCTACTTCTCTTCTCATATCCAGAAGTGCGTCTACAGTTCCAACACTTTCCGTGAATCCATATTGCAGTGGATTTGCCCTATTTTCCCTATCCATCCATTCTTTCATCCTTTTCACTATTAATCTTTCGCCTAACTTTCCTAAGACAGGTAAGAGGGTTACTGGCCTGTACGATTTCACCTTACTTGGGTCCTTTTCCTCGCTCTTTAGAAAAACTTTGACGATTCCTTTTTTCCACACATCAGGATACCTACCTTCTCTCAGCATCTTGTTGTACAGGTTCAACAGCGTCCCCTTGATCCTTCCAAACATTCTCTTAACTACTTCGTTCTTTATTCCATCCACTCCCGGGGCTTTCCTATCCTTCAGCAGTGAAACGCATGCATTTAGCTCTCCTTCAGTGAAATCTTCCTCATCTGTTCCGGTGCTTTCATCAGTCATCCTACTTCTGATTCTTGATTGTTCCTCTGTATCCTCCTCTTCCCTATCATCTGGCAGCAATCCTTGTATCATTCTCTCTAGGGTCTCTTGCACTGTCTCCGTCATTGTGCCGTCTTCTTTTTCCAGGCTAACCAGCACAGTATCCTTTTTCAGCTTCTCTGCAGCAATCTTATAAACCTTTCCCCACGGGTCACCCTCTTCCTCCGCAATTAACTTTTCCCACATCTCCTTCTTTTGCTTCCTGATTCCCCATACGTAATCTGTTCTTGACCTAACAAACGCTCTCCTATCATCTTCCCTTCCTGTCCTATTCCAGATCCTACTTTTCCTTCTCATCTTCACTCGTAATTCATTTAGCTCCTCTGTCCACCAGTACACCTTCTTTGTTCCTACTTTCGCTTTTGGAAACTGCTCCTCCATCAGATTGCACGTCATTTCCGTAATCTTTTCCGCGTGAACTTCCGCTGTAGCCATTTCAACATCCATCGCTTGTATACCTCTTTGTAAGGCTTCATCAAATCTTGCCCAATTTACATTCCTTAAGCAGTATGACCCTTGTCTCTGTTCATTCTCATGTCTCCGATTAATTTGATCCCTTCGCAATTTCATTGTTATAAGCCTGTGATCACTTAGCGTCTCTTCATGAACCATCCAATCCTCTATTCTTCCTGTAAGATCCCTCGTCGTAATCGTCACGTCAATGTTCGATTTCCCTCCCTGCGTGTTCTCATAAGTCGTCCATCTACTAAATTTGTTCACCACGTGCAGATCCCAAGCAATTACAACATCTTCCACCTTCGACCCTCTCTCATCCGTTGAACCACTGAGCCACAGTCCCGATTTTGCATTTAAATCCCCTCCGCAAACAACTTCTTTATTTCCTTTCTTCCTTATTATATCAGCTAACCATGCCAAGTGACCTTCAATGGGTTCCGACGGCCTACAATAAAGACTGATCACGTGCATTGACTTTCCATTCTGCTCTAACCTAACACTAACACACGTTCCACTTGTTTCCTGAGCAACCATTATGGCGCCAATGGTATCATTCATCACAATAACTGCACTCCAAATATCTTCTCTTCCGCTCCTGTCATGAAATACTCTGCAACCAGCTATCTTCACCTTTCTCCCTACCGCGTATGGCTCTTGGACAAGAAGGACATCTAATTTTTCTTCTATACATCTTCTGAGTGCTTCATCTGTAGCAACTTTACCTCTCCCTAGATTCCATTGCCCAATTCTACAATCCATAATCTATTTTTTCATTTTGCCGTCTGACTGCCTTCTCATAGGCCGGACACTTCCTTGACCCAGCTTCATGCTTGCTATTTTCCTTCTTATCTCTTACGCAGTTTATACATCTAACCTTTTCCTTCTTACCCTTGTTGGGGCAGTCCTTATAGTCGTGCTCCCCAGCACAGTGGGAGCAAGCAGGGGTTTCACTCTTACAGTGCTTTGCCACATGTCCAAACTTCTGACACTTAAAACACCTAGCAACATCCACATAGTCTTTCACCCGACAACTTTGCCATTCTACGAAGATCCGCTCTTTCCTTCTTAGCCAGTTCCTCACCCGTACAGAACATTCCACCACAACATGACACCTTTTCCCTGTCGATCTTAAATCCTTATACCTATGTCTTACCGCAAACTCCTGCTTGAAATCCGCCTCAACAATTTGGCTCTCCCCCATGTTTCGGGAGAAAATCTCCTCCTTGACCTCATCTTCCGTCAGTTTAGCACTAACATCATAAATCATGATGAAAGGTTTTTTCTTCTCCGGACGCTCTACTTTCAACCCTGCCTCTTTCAACGTCTCTTGCTTCATGAGATTTTGCACTCCATCCTCATTTTCTGCTTCAATAATCACACCATTCTTGATATTTATTAGCCTCTTAACTTTCAAGCCGATTTCAGAAGGCCGTACTAACTTTTTCAAGGTTTTAGTCACTTCTTCAGTCTCCAAGGTGTCATGCCGCACTATAATTTGTTTCGGTGCTTGGACTACGGGTCCTTTCATTCCAGTTACCCTTGGAACCATTGGGGTATCTTTCTTCAGCACTGCTGAGTAGCTCACTCCAGCCGCGCCTGGAACAACCTTGTCCTTCAGATTGTCCATTTCATGTCTCACGGTGGAGCTCACGATCTTTAAAAACTCTCTTCGTTCTTCTAACCTTGTTTCAATCCGGACTCTATCCTCTCTTGCCCTAATCAGCTCTTCCTGGAACCGGTTCAAGTACCTTCCAAACTTCTCTGTCTGAGGCTTTGTCACCATTTTCATGATGGTTGGCTGTTTGAACCATCCCTTCATCTTACCCAGAACCAAACTCAAGCAAACTAACGGGTCTTCATCCTCGACCTTTTCTTCCTCATCCGATTCCAAATCCTCAGTCTTCCTGGCTTTCCTCCTTTTCTCTTTCTCCTTTTCCTCAGGGCTTCTATTCCTCTTCTTTTGCTTCTCCGCCTCGGACTCCGACTCCGCCATACTGCTGGTCCCCGATCGATAGCCTCCTCCCAACGCAGACGCGGACCCCCTGGAGCTACTCAACCTCCTCTCCTTCTCGTGTTTTTCCAGGAACTCCTTTTCCGCCGCTATCCTGTCCTCTTCAGCCTTTCTGGCTTCTTCTCTCCTAGCCTCATCCTCCTTCAATGTTCTCAATTGATCAGCCGACATCTTGATTTGCAATTAATGTAATATAAAAATCTTTTAAAAAGCTTCTCTTTGGTGTAGGTCAAACTGAAACCTGAAAACTACATACAATTCATTAGTGATGGTTTTTTTGTGTTCCCCGGTTCATAGGAGTATTGCCAATCACTCCTGCGCCGTCCATCGACCGAGGCCCTACATTTCACCAATCAGGCCAAACCTCCTCGGACACCGATGCCCACCTATCACAGTCGCAGGCACCCGCATATGCCCATGGTTCTTGAGCCGATTTCTGACAATTTTGAAGCACCGCTTTCAGCGTGGCGAGGCTGCTTACTAACGGTGGCCCCCACTGTTGTCAATTTCACAGCAGTGGCTGCCATCAAGCTTAGGTCTGGAGTTGGCATGCGAAGGTATCCCCACTAGCGTCCCCCATTACCCCGACCAGAATGCAAGGGGAGGTCTGGTTCACAAATGGTGACCAGCTCAGATTTAGGGCCGTTTGCCATGGGCAAGCCATGACGTCCCCGGACACCCAATCCGCCTTCGTGTTTTTTAAAGACCCCTCACACACCGCCTCTGTTCAACAGACCGCCACTTGATTTCCCTTGATTCCACTTCAAAGCCAGGGGTAGGCAGGCACGTTCTGGCAGTGAAGGTCGGGACTCGTGTGAAACGTTTTGTGAGTTTTTGTTTTTGCTTTGTTGTTTTTTTTTTTTTTTTGTTTTGGTGTTTTTTTTTGTTTTTTTTGGGGGTTTTTGGTTTCACACGTCAGGTCAAGACCTAGGATTTTTAGATCAAGACCCGGGATGTCAGCCTAGCTATCAACAATCTATGGTTGATAGTACAAATCCATCCAACGTCCCTTAAACTTGGCTTGTAAAATACAGCCTAATCTCCTTAGGGGAGAAAAGGTTTGGGCTATTGCGACTCCTAGGAGCCGGGCCATGCGTTCGCCAACTCGCCAGGCCGGAAGCCAGGCCGGAGAGAGAGAGGGAGAGAGAGAGAGAGAGAGAGAGAGAGAGAGAGAGAGAGAGAGAGAGAGAGAGAGAGAGAGAGAGAGAGAGAGAGAGAGAGAGAGAGAGAGAGAGAGAGAGAGAGAGAGAGAGAGAGAGAGAGAGGAAGAATCAAGGAAGGAGTAACCTGTGGTAGTTTTGACTCGCCTTTTACCGATACCGCATAATATGCTATTACTACTTGGCAGAGTTGATTTTAGTTTTGTTAAATGTCTGTTTCATCTCTATGTTTAGGTGTTATTATATTTTGTGTCCAACAACCATGACGAGTTTGACTTTTAAACCTGAAAATTTACTCATACCGAGTATGAAACAGCTGTAGTCACAGTAACTACAAAGGATCTACAATTTTTGACCATGAAAGCTTGTCCATGAATATTATTTATGGATATTGAGAACGGGACATATTTCATGGCTTATGTAGGCTGATGTTGACACTTACCTGTCTATAGCACATGGTGGGGTGGTCACGGGCGTAGCAGAATAATATATTGACCATGGATTCCTGTATTCTCTCATCCCGGAAGAAATCTACTCCAGGAAATGTCCGGATCACATCCTGTTTGATGACAAAACGCAGATCGTTGTTGCAGAAGTACTGGTGCCAGGGGCTCTAGCAGAAAAACATATGTTATTTGCGGAGGTCTTTACACTCTTAATATCTTGCGAATAATTTGGCGAAGTCTCAAAGGAGAACCATAACTGTAACAAATTATTAGTTTTGAGTCTTTAAGGACTGTAATTAATTTTAAAAATATTTAAAGTTTGATTTTATGACATTGTTGATTTTTTATGAATCAATGTTGTAAAATTACTTTTTTAATCAATACAACTTAGAATTGATAAGAGTTGTACAAAGTTGACATTTTTAACTAAATAAAAATATTCACAATAATTTTGTTGAGGGCCATTAATCTGTAAATTATAAATGTTTTTTTTCTGTTTTTTATCTTTTTTTTAAGAAATTAACATATGTTCTGAGATGGTTAAACTTTAATTTAAATCATTTAAAATTGTTGCGTAAAAAGATTGTTTTATAGATTATTTTTTAGATTTTTATGCAGTGTTATATTTAAATAACATAATAACAATAAGATTGACCATAAATTAGTAAACTGGTCTTTGTCTTTGAGTCGTATTGTCCCCAGAGGCCCAGATGTCCCCAGAGGCCCAAAATATACTCTGTTCAAATTCAAATATATATACATACATATACAAATACTCAGATTTGGATGACATTATTACTTATTAAAGAATAATTCTACATATTATTATGAAGCCACCATACAAATCCTGACAATCTACTTGATACAATGCAAACCCAAAAATAAAACCAAATATATGAACAAATCTTATAGAAAATATAAAAGATAACTCCAGATCCAACTGTGTTACAAGACGAACATTCCAAAATCATATGATAATTTTAATTTAATTATTTATATTTATTAATTTATTATTTACTGTTTACTTACTATTTAATCACATAACTGTGATCCTAAGAGCCGAAACATGTTAGCTATAGTGAAATAATAACTTCAAGGGTGCTAAATGTTTAATACTTTTATTATATATAGCAAATACCTAAGTACTTGTCAAAACTAATAAGTACTCGTTACTTAAACACTAAACAGTGAATAAAGCTGGAGATATTTTAGTAAAAATACAATTAGGCAAATGGAAATTTGCTTAGACCGCAAGTTTGCTGCGGAGGGAGTATTTTTATATCCATTATTTAAAGACATTTACATAAGTATTGTCTGCATTCACTTGGATAAAGCTGTCACAAAGACACATTTAAAACATGTGTGTAATTCATAGATTGTAAGTCTTTTAACTATGTCATCATGCACTAGCAGCAATTTAAAACAATTATAACACACCACATGTGGGAAACCAATTGGATATTTGACATCAGGCTGTGTAGTAAGTGTGTGTCGAGTATTTTACTTGATAATGCGATATGGGCCCCAACTTCATATGATAACCTGGGATTTCACAAACTCGGCACCCGTCCAGTCCACATTACGCTGAGTTTGCGAGACTCTACTGTATCAACAATTTTATATAGCAAAAGAAACAGATCAAACAAAGTTCAGTAAATTACTGTGTGTGTATATATATATATATATATATATATATATATATATATATATATGTATATATGTATTTTATATATAATAAACCTAGCTATTTATTCCATTGATGAATTCTCCACCTCCCACATGTAGTAAGCAATTTAGATAAGAAATGATAATGTTGTAGATTTTATGATGGTAAAAATGGTCATGTTTTGGTCTCACTGGTAAGACCTAAAAGACCCGAGACCGATTTTTCTTTTGGTTTTGACGTCCACAGAGGCTAAAAACACAATCGGTTCAAATTCATCTGTATATATTTGTTTATTTATACATTTATTGTGTATGTCAGTACGTTAGCAAATAACTAGAGTAAAATTCATCCAATTTTGATGAAATACTAACATGTAGGCATAACCCTAATTTTATTTTTATTAACAAGTTTGGGAACCAGCATGAATGGAGTATGAAAACTGCATTTTATGGGTTAAAAATTAGTTTTTCTCTTTTACCTTCAAAATACAAAATTTTACATCTTTAACTAATCTAACTATCTAACTTTACATTTTAATCCTAGCCATTTTGTAGTAGGCTACTTTGTTGTAGGCTTACCCTTAATGGTTAAACAGAAAAAATGTTTATTAAAAATTCCTATGTTATTTTTATGGAGAATATGAAGAAAGAAAGAAAGAAAGAAAGAAAGAAAGAAAAAAGTGCTTTATTCTTCACAACTTATTTACATCTTTTACAATAAAAAACAAAACACACAAAACAATGGTTTATTTAAACCGTCTGTTTGGTTGGCACCTTGCTGTAAAATAACATATTTTAAAACTGTAACATGTAAGTAACTATTTAACTAGGTATACTTATATAAAAAGTACATTTATAATTATTTTTAAATTTATGTATACAGCTCGTAAAAAACATAAAATAAAAGCAACATTAATTCGTTTAAAAATGTGGTTCCAAGCGAGTCTCATGATTTTTAATTATAATTGAAGAGAAATAAATAAAGAAAAAAATTTTAGCTATAAATTGAACTCATTAATTATGTCCCACCTATATTTCCATGCCTTACTTAAATACTGGGCTAAAGCTCGCCAATTCCACCCATTTAAAAAACACTCATATTCTGTTTCGTTTAAAGTATTTTTTCCAAGCCAAAGACGTCTGATATGTTTTAAAATAGGGCAAATTGCAATAAAATGATATGCAGTTTCATTTTGTTGAAGATTACAGAGAGTGCAAAGATAATTTTGTTCAGACCACGGCTTGTAGTTTAGATTTATCAGTTCTGCTCTAGCTTTAATAGCCCAAGAAGCGATATGCGTATTGTTGAGCATTATTGGGCTCCTATCGCCAAGTTCAAGGTCGAGCGTCAGTAATTGCCTGTGGTGGACAGAGGTCCGCGCTCGGCCTACACACTCCTCCCTCCACCTGCCACGCAACACTTCCGCCACCGTCCTCAGCTGGAGGCCCAACCCCTCTGGATCGAGATCTTGGAAACTAAACTCAATATTGCATTTTTGTCCCAAATACTCCCATTCTCTACACCAAGATGTTTTTTTCTCGATTATTTGTTTTGCTAAAAAGTTTGGCAATCTTTTGGGTGGCAAAGTTAAACATCTCAAAATATAGTTAATATTTAAATTTATAGTGTAAAAATAAAGTTTATCGAAGTATGTTTCAAGGTACAATACATATTTTGGCGTATTATAAGGCAGTGCAAATATTCTTTTTAGAAAAAAAGTTTGTACTGATTCAATTATTTCACTTTCTATGAAACCCCAGGTCTGTGCTCCATAACAGATTGTCGATCGTACAACAGCCTCGAAACACGATATTTTGGAAATCATTGGCACTTTATTGTTTTTAAATAAAGAATTCCATACAGAATTGATAACAAATTTTCCTACTCTGGCTTTTTCCTTAAAATGGCTGTTCCATGATAGGTTGCTTGTAAATGTAACCCCTAAATACTTATACTGATTTACCACCTCGATAACGTTTCCTTTATACCTCCACTTATCACCTGCCTTTAGTCTTCCACCCTTTCTGAACACCATTATCTTAGATTTATTTAGATTGACAGTTAGATTCCAAGTGTCACAATAGTTTTCTAATTTTTTAATCATATGCTGCAGCCCAGTGTTTTATGGAGAATATGTTAACTGTTGTAGTTTAAGTTTACTAGTTTCCTAGTGTATAGATATATTTTTATCAAATTTGCTTAAAGGACTTACTTTACTTTATAGTAAGCTATTAAAATTTCAATAAAAAATATACTTAGTTTATTACATTCCCTGTAGCTGCAAGCCTAGACGCTCAACTAACCTAATAGATAAGTAAGAAACAGAGGATAATTACATTCAATGGTACACTTATATGGTGTCTAGCACCAGTCGCTGGTGTCCCCTTCCGGTGCGATACCAGGGGCTCCCGACGACACAGACTCCCGACGACACAGACTTCCGAAATGTGACGTCACGGCCGACCACCCCTCTCTCTATCTGAGTGGAGTGGGAGAGAGTCGTTGCGGTAACGCCCCCGATCCAGCCGATGGCTTGTCCTCCACACGAAAACCCCTACAAAACTATGACGTCTCGGCCGTCTATCCCTCTCTCCGGGTAAAGTGGGGAAATGTGAGTTTTCGTCCGCGATTTTGATGTTGTTGATTTCCACTAAATTAACGATATAATTGTTTTAAACCAAATTTGTAAAGCATGGCATAGACATATTTTTTTGATATTGTTCATTCCCACTAAATTAGCAATATATTTTAATCAGATTTGAACATAATTTTTAACGCAATTTGGACATTATTGGGAAAGTGTTGAGGTTTGTGAGTTAGTATGACATCCACATAAATCACTAAACTGATTAAAGTGAATGTTGGCTTTTGAATGTAATTATTGTATATTGTATTCATGAAAGCAATAGGAAGACAATGTGATGAATTTACTCTGACTTTTAATGTAAACCTGTAGAAGTTTCAACAGCACATTGGGATATACAACGTCACACAGCTGATTTAAACCAATAATTTAATTCAGAATAATTGTTTCGTTTGTTTAAACCATCGATCTCTATTACTTAGAGATCGATGGTTTAAACTAATTGGTGGGTTTATTAATTATAATACTGTGTTATTTACTGTAGGACATGGGGATTCTATAATGTTAGGGAAAACAGACCAATTATGTATTATTCAAGAGTATTTATGTTTAATAGATTATTATTACGCCACACTACAATGATTTAACGAACTTCCCACGAAAGATTTAGGCCTAGTCCAGAAAACAGCTGTTTGCCGCCAGCTTTAGTCAAATGTGGTTTCATTACGTACTAATGTATTGTAATGAGTTTTTACCGGACAACAACCAGCTGGATGATTACATTAGGCAATGAGTGGTTATAAACCAAATCATAACCTCTCTTAGAGGTTATGAGTAGTGATTGTTAGTCCTTTAGTCGGTGGATATATATAAGGATTTTTTATTGTTAAGTTAGCTTAGAGTGGTATGGTGTAAAATATCTTACACTCGTCCAAAATGTGTTTACCGGACTCGTATGGTAATCCCGTACGACTTCGTGTCGCACGGGAACGACCACACACTCGTCCGGTAAACACCTATTTTCAGGACAAATAACGTAATAATATACTATTACGTCACACTACACTGTTTTGACGAACTTCCCACGCAAGGATTTAGTCCAGAAAACAGCTCTTTGCCGTCAGCTTAATCAAATTGGGTTTCATTACGAACACTGTACTGTAATGAGTTTTACCGGACACCAACCAGCTGAATATATAATGTATTTTGCTTGGCAATGAGTGAGTGTTTAGTTTATAAGCTAAAACATAACCTCTCTTAGAACTACTACATCGTAGATTCAAAAGTGCAACGTGTTTTATTAGAAAACTAGTTATAATATTTTACCATAGAAAATAATGTTTTTCTACTGTAATTTTAAACTGTAAGAGATATAAAGAAAACTGAAATACCGTACGTAAAATGTTTGTTTGAAAAGGACCTTCCACGTGATATGAAATTGTCATACCTTGCTATTTAAAAATTTTGAGTTTTCAGCTTTCTTTTATTCTTCAAATTTGAGATTTTTTCAAATGGAAAAATAACACGGAAAATGCCCTTAATACAAATTATTTTAAAGAGTAGCTCAAGAATAAGCTAGGAAAAAGAATTGGCGCTATTCCGTTCAGTTGTTAAGGTAATACGGTACTTATCTTCAAAGTCCTTTTTTAAAACGTTTTGACCCACCCTGTAAATACGGTTAAAGATAATTAAATTTTTTTGCACCAAAATGATCAGGGTATATAGACCTTTAAATTGATGTATCACACAACCCGTGTTAACATTTGAAAATTTCTCAAAAAGCATCCCTACCCCCCAAATTAGGCCCTTTTGGGGCATTTTTCAAAATTAAAAATAATTTTATTAGATTCGGAATGTCCAAATTAGGGGGAAATGAGAACGATTAAGTGTTAAAAGCCTTACCTTTGGATACAACAGATATGGAAAGTTTTCAAATTAACACCCTGTATATAAAATCAGCTTATTAAAGAAAAGATTTGTTCTGCAAATATTCAATGATATGTGTCTATTTAGCAACGAGAAATCAGTAGTATGTGGCAGTGTTTCACAGCAAGAAGCTGCATTGTTTATATTTTGATTCGATACTAAGATTTTCCCATAACTAATTTTAGTGGACTAGTATTTTTTTCTGACGCCTCAATTATTTTAACCCCAATTTTAATATTGCTTGAAAATAAACCTGAACTATTACGGGGTGTATTTTTATTATTCTCCGGATGACCATACATGACTACCCAGATATATAATTACTAAATAGAAAACATTATATTATTTTGCAATCTTTTATCAATAATACTCAAATTAATTGGTAACTTCCATATTTAGTTTATGGGGTTTCCAATAATTCAATCCCTCCTTATTCAATCCGATGCTCTCGGGTCAAACACCTATTCGGGGAACCGAAATGTTTTGGAATTTGAGTGACGCATACAGTACTTATTTTCGCCCCTCCTCCTACTTTAGAACGAATCAGATAGTTTTTCAATATACGCACAACCCACATTACCCTAAAGCCACTTAAAGGTTTATTTGTTGAAATGTTTAAAGGATTAAAATGTTGATCGGGAAGTAGAACGGCATGTGGTGGGTAACGGGATGCATCGAAGTCACTAAGTCGTGGACAGGGCATATCTGAACAAGGAAAAGGCTACCTACCTACCTCGGCTATTGTGGGGTGGTCCGCCTGGCCGACCCTAATTAATTTCGCTTGACTGCGCTCAACAAAAACAACTACTATACCCAATACCAAAAAGTAAGTTATCTATACAAAATATTAACATTCATTATCATATTATATTTTGTTTTTTCATGTCAATTATTTTGTTACTAAATTTGATGTACTGTAATGAATAATAATATAGTTTAACCATATCCTGTTGTTGTAATATTTTGCTAAATCTATTATGTTGAAAAAATACAATAAAATTATACATATGGTCATAATGTAAACAGATGTGTTGAGGGGACTTTAAAGGCCTCTGGGGCAGAGCCCTAAGGGAATTTATCTCGTTTCTCTTTTGATGGCTCATCTACAGACCAAGACCTTTCTTTAGAGACCCCTACCAAGTTTCTACGCCCAGCCGTTCTCTGAAATTAGCTGTGGCAAAAACCCGTTTTTCCTCCATAAGAATAACATGGGATGGGAATTTAAAGGCCACTGGGGCAGAGCCCCAAGGGAATTTACCACGTTTCTCTTTTGATGGCTCATCTACCGACCAAACCCTTTCTTTAGACACCTCTACCGAGTTTCTACGCCCAGCAGTTCTCTCAAATTAGCTGTCACAAAGAAAAACAGTTTCAAATTAATATATAGATCATAGCATGTTAAAATCAAGCCACGACCTAAACACAGTACAAAAGGAAAAAATGCAAATGGTGATTACTGATCAAATAATACAGAGAAAGTCTTAAGTTGACATTTAAATCACAATTTGGAAACGACCACTGATTGAATGGGTACAGTATTTTACGGATTTGAATAAGGTCGTTTTTTGTATGAGCTAGCTCCCTATGGAATAAGACATATTTAAATTGAATATCACATGGCCAAGATAATCGAGTTTTGGCAATGAACAATTTAAGGATTTCGGGTGACTATTTTAATAATTCTAATAATTTATTCTAATAATTTATTGCTAATTCAGTGGTAATTACGTGCCCTCGGCTGGACCGGGGGGGGTTGCCGCAGGGAATTACGTGTGGAGGTTAAGCCGTCGGCTGGACCAGAGGGGTTGCTACAGAGAATTACGTTTGAGGGTACTTTTTTACTACCTTCGGCTGGACCGGGGGGAGTTGCCACAATGACTCTCTCCCACTCCACTCAGATAGAGAGAGGGGTGGTCGGCCGTGAGGTCACAGTTCGGAAGTCTGTGTCTTCGGGAGTCTGCGTCGTCGGGAGCCCGTGGCGCGTTCCCCCCCTTCCGCTCTCCTTTCTCCTCTTGCCATCGCATACTACAGCACTCACACGGTAGGTTTTACTGTAGCTACTCACCCAAGCTTCCTGAGACAGGGGGTCATCTTCTGTTTCTTCATTGTGGGGGTCCACGCTATGTTTTTCCAGCAGCTCACGATAACTCTCTCGAGCCACCCGAGTCTCTTCCACCCATCTTTCTGGATGTCCCGAACTCAAAACCCCGAGTAGCAGCCGCCAACACACACTTCGGAACCTGCCGAGTCAGACATTTATTATCAAAATAGATTCGTTTGGTGTGAATGATAAGGTGTTACACAGCTAGGCCTTGTTACAGCAATATTGTATGATTTTCAGATGGCAGAATAAGTTGCAAGGATCTAGGCACTTCTCACTTTACAGAAAATAATCAAAGTAAAGAAAAGATAAGTACTTTCTGTAAAACCCTAGAGAAAAATATTATTTACTAAAATCCACCCTCCTACCAGCCAGTGAAACTTGTGGGGCAATAACCAGACAAGCATGAAATAATTAGGTACACCTTTGTCTAAGAAATTGAATACCAGCATGGGCTGCCATGACCCAAAGAGAGAGGGAAAGAACATGATAGGCCTACAAGAGAAACTACCACTCAGGATATCTAATGGACTTCTAGTATGTGGCACCTTATCCTTGTCCACAATAAGACCTCTTTAAAAATAATACAAACCGCTAAAACCCCAAAATTATAAATGTTCAGTGGCTACTTAAATTTTGCTGACATTAACATTTGCTTTGCTTTGAAATCAGTTAAACACCACTGAGGTATCTCCCTGGTGATAAATGCTTAGTTGCACTATTTTAGAACCTCACCAATAGCAGATGTCTACTAAACCTCAAAGCAAAATGCCCTCAGGAACCCACCGCAGTTAACACTCAAGCGAATTTCCATTTTCCTGATGGGATTTTCACTTCAATATTTTCTAAAAAACATGATTTTAATAATTGACAGTCATAAAGGTTTAAATACTAGAATCACACCAATCTTCAGCAACTGCAGCAATACCTGCGAGCATTTCTTGGGATAATGCAACATTTACTAACCACGTTTGATTATACTAAAAGAGAACCTGCGGAAACGTTCAGCCATAGGCTACTATCCCAGATTTCACTAGCCCATGTAAAATTCAAGTAGCCAACAACTCACAGACTTTATCCTGGCCATCAAAATTCACGTAGAAATCCCCTGTTGGTTGGCTGGACACACTGCTACACTCAATCAATCAATCATTGAGATGGGGACGCCACCTAGGTGTGTATTTTAACCCAAATATGAGTGAAGGATGAGTGTAGAATGGTTTGTGATGACCTGTGTAGCTTTTTTTTTGTTACTGACTGAGATCAGCGGTTTCATTAGTCAGGATAATTTATTCAAAGCCCAATGATCAGGAACAGCTAAAAATGACAACTTGACTACTTGGCAAAATGACTAATTAGGCCAATAGTTTTCTCTTTTTTAAGATATACTTGTTGATGTATTTTATTTTCTTACCGAAAAGCTCTCAACCCGCCTTCTAACGCGCGTTTGCGCAGGTTTGTCAGCTGTTCATCCTCAGACTGCAGAAACCTCCATTCCAACCTAAAAACATAACGTAGTTGGTCATAAAACTTACTCAATTTAAAAACACATGGCTGTGACGTTGGTTCCAATATAAATAATGCTTAGGATTGTTATATTTGTGGTTTTTATGTTTAAATGCACATACAATAGGATATTATTTCACTGACCACATAACTAGCTAAAGTAGTAATTCTTTATTTCTAAAAATGGTATTAGGCTAATATAAACTGTATGGTTTATAATGTAAAAATATTGGCTAAATTCTTTTATTCATAAATCATAATACACACAAACTATAAAAACAACTCCATGATTAGGCCTATAGTGCATTTTTTGTGCTTCCTAATGGTTTAGAAATAATGATTTATGCCCGACAGTAACAGTAACCATTTGAAACTGGTGTCAAGATGTCTAAGTTTTTGTGTGCGGCAACAACACATAAATTTGATCATAGTCTATGCAATTAAAAGGCACTCAATTAATTCACAGCACTTAAACTAATGATGACGTCATTTGCTCCACCACAGTTAAGGCTTGTGGCAAGATTAATTGCTCAATTTGTACTCCAACAATAAGCTTTGTACAAAAATGTTACACTTGTTTTCTGAGGATATTCTGTTGCTCGTTAATTGTATTTATTTTAAACAACAAACAACTAGTAGGCTATCTAATTAAAATCCAAATCAAAGTTTACTAGCTTGTAATTTGGTGAGGGCACTATGAGCCTATATGAAAACACAAAAAATAAATACCCCTGCCACAGCAAACCTGCCGACAAAGCAAATTTCAATTTGTCTGAAAGTACTGATTTTCAATTAAATTTAGATAACATTAAGTTAAACGAGTAGGCTATCTAAGTTCTCTGCTACAAGGAAACTAATAAAGTGTGTTTAATTTTTTTGTAAAATATAATATATCTATAAACAAGCAATCTAAAACATTTTACAATATTCTCCATAAGAATAACATGGGAATTTTAAATTTACAGTATTTTGATTTTTCTCCATTAGCCTACCAATAACCGTAAAAAACACTTTGCTATAACCTATTAAATTATTTGGTTTTTTTATCTCTTAATTCTCTTTTTAAAGGTCTTGATAGAAATTGGGACATTTTGTATTTTGAGGGTCAAAAATTAGGAAAACCAATTTTTACCCCATAAAACCCTCCGTAAAACCCCGTTCCCATGGTCCGATCATGATGGTTCGTGAACTCATTCAAGTTTATTCCACCTTACACCTTTAAACCAAATTTCATCAAAATCTGACAAAAATTACTCAAGTTATTGTGTTCACGGACACATATATAACTCTCTCTCTCTCTCTCTATACATATATATATATATATAAACATACAGTAGATACAAGTTTGAACAAATGGTGTTTTTGGCCTCTGGGGACATCAATATGAATAAGTAAATCGGTCCCGGGCCTAGGTCTTACCGTGCCACCTACGGTAATAACTACTTCCTTATGGGGAAATTTGCTAAAAACTCAAAAAGTTTTGCCAACTGCTGTGACGTCACTAGGACCTACTTAATTGTCATGTCCACAGAACAAGCAGCACTAACGTGCGTCAGCCATTCCTGTAGCCTTTGTTGAAGGGATCAGAGGTTTAAAATATAACTTATTTTTTCCAAAACAATGTACAAGATGTTGCAGACAATAGCTGATTTAGCTGAGGTCGGTGGCAAAATTGTACATATTTGAAACAAGGAATAACAAAATAAAAATAGACTAGTTTGTTTAGGATTAGGCTAAGAACTGGGTGGACCATGGTAATGTTATGGAGATTCCATTGACAATATTATTTCATACTTTAATGGGGGACCTATAGTTCCTTATGTAAGCAAAAGTGTTCTCACTCATCAGTCCTCAGCCTCACTACCGAGTCTGATACTAATCTTCATAAGCCTATTAACAGTAACATCGATTTTATTTATTAGTAAATGTACAGGAAGAATACAAGATTTCTGTATGACAACTAACTAATAGTCCAGTCATTTTAGGGAAAAATACCCCTCTACCTGGAAATAATTCCCTAAGTGGTGAAACTTTGCTCATGTGTAGTACTAGTACCCAGTAACAACATATCACAAATCAACATTCGTGCATGCTGTGCTACAGCCGCCATCTTAGAAAATGGCAGCCTCCGATTTTTACTTTTTTGCTCATATTTCACTAACCATTGAGAATACAGATATTTTGTTCAAACAACAGTTATAGAACACACAAAAATACATATTTTACTTATTTACATATTTGCCCTATCTCTAACGGTTATTGAGAAAAATTGAAATTAATATTTTCAAAACATTAATTTTGTTTAAGTTCTGTCAGTTTCATTTTTTTTAACAAATATTTCATTGTAGCGGACCTGCTACAAAAAAATCACATAGGTAACAGTAAGGTTTATATATGAAATGTATACATTATAAATATACATAGCTATTGTAAAATACCCCCGAGGCAGTAAACTTGCAGCCTAAGCGAATTTCCATTTGCCTGATTTGACTTTCATTTAAATCTATTTAAATTACATTAGGTTTAACATGTACCTAGGTTTGCTGCTACAGGGAGGGTAATAAAGTGTGTTTTTAGTAGAATATTAATAGCTTGCTATAAAAAGGTTTGATCAAAATACATCTATAAACAAGCAAACTGCAACAGTTTACAATATTCTCTATAGGAATAACATAGGGATTTTAATTTTTTTAAATTTTCTCCGTAACCAATAAGCTTACTAAAAATGTTAACATACTTAATTATTTGTTTTATAAGCTCTTCAAAATAGTCTAGAGAGATATTGGGAAATTTCGTGTTTTGAGGGAAAAAAAATGAGAAAACCCAATTTTTACCCCATAAAACCCCATTGCCATGGTCCGATCATGCTGGTTATCTCATTCAATGTTATCCCGCCAGAGACCTTCAAGCCAAATTTCATCAAAATCGGACGAGCATTACCCGAGTTATCTTGTTCACGGGGACACGTATATATATCTCTATATAGGCCCTATATATATAACTTAAATATCAAACGTTTAAAAATATAGGCCTTTTAATTTCAATTTTTCTCAATAACCATTAGAGATAGGGCAAATATGTAAATGAGTAAAATATGTATTTTTGTGAGTTCTTTAACTGTTGTTCGAATAAGAATTCTGTACTTCCAACAGTTAGTGAAATATGGGCAAAAAAGTTAAAATTGGCCGCCATCTTGGAGCACATTATAAACATGCATGCACGAATGTTGATTTTTGATATGTTGTTACTGGGTACTACACATGTGCAAAGTTTCACCACTTAGGGAATTATTTCCACCTAAAACCCTAATATGACTGGACTATAACTAGTTGAGTACACAAGTAGTGAAAAAGAAAACTATGGAAGCAAGAAGAGGATGTGGAAAACACATCCACCGAATGACCTTGTTTTTCTACTCATTCATAGTATTTCACTTGATGTTGATTAGGGCTGCTATTGGACGAGCTGATTTCTGCGTCGTTCTCTGACTCTACCACATCTACAGTGGAATTTTGGTCAACTTCCAAACAGAGATCACCACCCACTGGGACAAAGAATATGTCAAAACCATTGTTTTGTCAGAGGTTTTCAAATAATATTTTATAAAAGTGGTTTGAAAGCTTTCTCACAGCTATTGCAAGAGCAAAACAGACTTATGCATAGGACTTGATTATTGGAACTTTTCTATGTATGACAGTTTTCTCAGTTAACCAATATCCATCGAAACGGAACGATGGAGCTCCTGGCTAACCGTTTTATTAAAGAGTATAATATCTAAGTAGGCCTAAACCTATGGAAACTTAAGACGGGTACAGTTCCGCAGAGATATACAATCAGATGAAATTTTTGTTTGATATACGGTATATCGATTAAAATATTTCATTCTCGATATAAATATTGATTTACTTTTTGTCCTCTTTTTATTGGTATATACCGGTACTCAAGAAGAGAGCCCACCACGCACCACTCTTTAACAGTGCACTGCGGCGTTTAATTTTGGTTAATTGAGATCAGTTTAAGTTTATGATGATAGCAAACAAGGTAATATATATATAGATAGGCCCTACAATTTACAAATTTATTTTAAACTTGTGAAAAAAGAGGACAGAAAAGCAAATTGACAAATTTGTAAATGTATCTCTTTAACAAATTACACGAAATGTCAACTGTGTTATAGATGTTAGGCCTACCTTGTCTTGTTTGTTCCTACCTATTGTAAACTAAACCATGGACAAAAAGAATTAAATATAGACCGTCAGCTGTGCTGCGGTTACCATAGGTTCAGGCGCACACCGCTGGGAGCGCCATGTTGTTATGGCCTACGCACTACGTAACTACACGGCGCTCCCAGCAGTGTGCGCCAGAACCTATGGTAACCCCTGTACGACTGACAAGTCTATTAATTCTTTTGTCTATGTCTAAACTCAACTAAACTTGCATAAGTAAAAACTAGTCACCGCAGAATAGTGAGAAAGAGTATTTTTGGAAATACACTAAGTTTAACTTATGACTTTAAAAAAATTGTCTAGTTAATTACATAGGCTACACCCGATATAAAATTGCTGGAAAACAATACCTGATTTGATATGTATACCCTAATACAGGGTGTCCCGAAACTCTCTACCTACCAATATTTTAGGGCATTGTTCCTGGGTAAGAAACATATCTGAATATCATATTTTAAATTGTCCGGAAGTCCTTAGTTACTCACATAGTCACCATTTTGTTTTTTCCACTAATAAATTTGTTTATGAAAAGCGGTTAAACATACGAAATTGAAACTTTGCACACACATTTATGACAACTAGACAAAGCTACAAAAAAATTATGACAATTTTCAAAACTCATATAACAAAATGGCTTCCATTTATAATTTTGTTTCTTGAATCAACGGTTTTTGAGTTATTAAAGAAACAAAGCTATAAAATGGCCGGCATTTTGTTTTATGAATTTAGAAAATTGTCATAATTTTTTTGTAGCTTTGTCTAGTTGTCATAAATGTGTGTGCAAAGTTTCAATTTCGTATGTTTAACCGCTTTTCATAAACAAATTTATTAGTGGAAAAAACAAAATGGCGACTATGTGAGTAACTAAGGACTTCCGGACAATTTAAATATGATATTCAGATATGTTTCTTACCCAGGAACAATGCCCTAAAATATTGGTAGAGAGTTCCGGGACACCCTGTATATTTTACTTATAGGTACATAGCAGTCTGGTTTTGTCCTTGGCCGGCATTGCGGGCTTGTATATAATCCTGTAAATCAAAATGTTTCTGTACGGTTAACTTAAATGCTTAAGTAGGCCCTACCTATGAAGTATTTTTGACAATGGCAAATGCACAAGTTAATATATGTTTGACAATTGACGACTGAACAGAAAGATTTGAAAATGGGGCTTTAACTCAGAATCTATAGTCATCTACGACAAATAGAATTGATTGACGACAGTTTGGTAACCTTATTTTATGTCATATAATAGGCCTATGTACAAGTTATTTCACTAATCGGCTGCACTTTACTTGACGTCCTACACTCATTTGAATGAAAATATCGAACCGATATATCGATTGCTTCATTATATATATAGATTGGTTAGTTAGGTAAGGTTAACCTAACCTAACTAACCAAACGATATATCGAATGAAAATATCGAATAAAAAAAAACAATCGAATGAGTGTAGGACGTCAAGTAAAGTGCAGCCCACTAATCTTTCATCCGATAATATATTGACGGATCTCTGCCGAATTCGAATTGTACCTTTAAAGACTAGCCTAGGCCCTACTTAGATTTCCATTCTAAGCTGTAAACAATTAAGCTAATATTTGCTGGGTCTAGCCTATATGTGTCTAACTTGACCAGAAGTGATCTTGCTTGACTAATTAATCATAACATTTTAAGCATTAAAAATATGTGTATACATTAGTGGACTTCCTTACCAGGTAGACCTAACTGAGGACTTTCCATTAACACTAATTAATTCCTCTTTAAAATATGTATAACACAGAGATTTTGAATGGGACATGAGCAGTAACCTACTAATTATTGTGTCGACCTAACAACTGAAAACGGTAAAGCAGTGTTGAAATTTAACTTTTGGTTCCCTAACCTATCAAACACTTGCAATAGCTACAATCCAATCCAAATAATCAAAATCAAATTATCACGAACAAGGCCTGAAGGATAGTGTTAAGGAATAAAATTGGTACTTGGCAGTTGAGTTGGTATGGTTGACAGCGACAGTTGACACTAAGCTAAGCTGAACAGCTGAAGCTAGCTAAGCACAGTCTAACAATAAATAATTTATACAGTCCCGACATTCCCTATCCTTTATAATGGGAATGATGTGTCGCCTGGAAGCGACTGCAGCGCTCGTAGTTTTTGGAGGTATAACTAACACGACTGCCATATTGGATTTTTGGATTTTGTATTTTTTGGCAAAGGCATTGGGCAAAGCTCAGTGGGCTATACAACACTTTATTGGTCCATGAAAATATAATTTACCCATAGATCGTATAATATAATTAAAAAAATATATAATAAAATATAATAAAGCATCAGCTTGTAATTAGTATAAATTACAAGGGCGGTTCCAGAGAGGGGGCCATGGGGGCCATGCCCCCCCCCCCCGAGAATGTAGATAAACAAAATTAAACTCCAACCATAATAATTTATTTTTAAAGTTTTTTATGTGAGTAGGCTATCAAGTACAGATGTATTCATTAGGACAAGAATAGGTAGCACAGGTAAGGCGGAGCTGGCGTTTACGCGGAAAATAGTACGGGAGTGAGAGCGCGATAGTCATCGTCGTACTCAAGTTGTACTAGCCTGGGCCACACACATTCGCCACAGGTGCGCGGTGCCGCCAGCTCGTAGTTAAACGGGTAATGGTTTTAGGCCGGCGCGTAGTACACATCGATGACTCATCACCATCACGCCATGTGACGAGCATCGATATATAGTAGTTATATATCGATGGTGACGAGTAGCCAATAGCACTGCCAGCACTGGTAGCAGCACTGCTGTGGTAGTAGTAGCGACCAGCCGACTACCACTACAACACTGCGACTAGCGAGTAGACACTGAGTAGAGCAGCAGTGAGAGTGAACTGAACATCTACTACAACACATTTTAGGATAGGTTAAATCCAAGCGTTGAACAAAATGGGAAACACTGGAACAGCTGATTAGAATGTAGTCGTAGTACCAAGTGTTGCCAACTTATTTTCAAGCGTACGCACCTTATAAAAGCACAATCTTTTGTGTTGTTTATTTTGAATACTTGAGTGCAGAAAAAAACAAAAAATTGGTGCGGCAAAAGTAAATGCAGCAATTAGCTACTTTGCATTCTATACCTAATCAGTACACATGGAATTTGAATTTATGCTACGTTGTCACTAGTTGATTTTATACCCTTGCATTGTGATTGGTTATTTATGGGTTCTTCGTCGGTATTTGAGTAGTAATAATGCAGTATCGTAAGCACAACACAAGATTATAGGTCTCTGTCAGTAAATTCAATGGACCATGGACGCCATATTGAACCTACAATTTCAATTTCCTAAATTAGCCGAGCCTGAAAAAAATGTTTCAAGCTGATACCTTACAAGCATTTTGCAGAGGTTTGTTTTCAACGCAATACAATTGTAATTATTGAGCTCCCATATGCATTTAAAGATATTTTAAAGTAGCCTATTAAATCTGTGTACATAACCTCAACAAATTAACAAGGACCGCACATAGTCGTCCTAGTCTAGGACGACTATGTACAAAGTTAGAGGTAGATAAAGAGGAATAGATTATAAAGGCCAACTTGTATAGTTTTTCATAAAGCCCAAAATCTCTTGAACACGTTGATTTACTCAATGACACAAACCAATTAATTACACGGCTTTACATTGTATAAAACTATTAGACTTCTCATCTATACAAGTAGATCAGCCAACTGTGTTAGAGAGTGTTTTAGGCCTACGTGGATTTTTTGCTCGTCTATGATAAAACTAAGAGCTTGCAAAGGCACCCGAAAACCAGGGCTAGAGATATCCCCGAAAACGGGCAAATGACACTACTTGCCTATGCTAGGTAGGCTATTTAGTCGACACGAGACACACTGGTGTGACATACAAGTACTACACCTTAGAAAAAGCTTCACATTTTAACATTGGATGGGAAGTTTTTTTTGTGTTAGCTTGTATACGGTTCAACATGCCTGATGAGTTCACTGGAACCACTACATGCGCCCTCCGTATATTTCTGCCCAAGTCGGCACCAGGTGGTCAAGAAGTTTTATTGCATATAACCAAATTCATGCCTATACTATTACTATACACTTTTCTTGAATTGTATCAATAAACCTAACCTAAAACTAGGTTCGAGTTTGACTGTTTGCACTTTGTTGCTGAAGAAATGTTCATGAAATTCCACAATTATTCTTAATAAGGCAACAACCTCAAATGTTACATTTTTTTAAATCTTAAAGCTAGGGTCTCAAAATAGCTTTAAAAACGCTAATTTCAGCACATAATTTTCACAAATTTCCGGGGGAGGACCCCCAGACCCCCCGGTGGCCCCCCCCCGAAACTCAGCCCTGGAACCGCCCCTGATAAATTATTTAAGAAATTGAAATATATTTACAAATAGGTACTAGTAAGATTTCTACAATATAACAATAGCAAAATATACTTTTTAAAGGTAGCCTATATTTTTATTTTATATTCTGGATAGGCCTAGTTGGCTTTTTAATTAAGCTATAGTGGTTATAAAAGTGTTATATATATGTTTACAATGGTTTTTTTTTATAATATTAAGCTATGCAAGCTATATATGAGCATAGATTATCCAACTCCTTAGTTCATCAACGAACTTATTAACTCTTGAAAATTGGTTCATCTAGCTATGTGGTATGAGTTAACAAAATCTAAATGTTTTCTTTGTAGGCCTATTGGTTTTAATTAATCAATTGATACAGTATAAGAAACAATATCTTCTCGTAAAAATTTCAAATAGGCCTACGTATTTGTATCGTGAAATGCCATCATTTTCTTTTGATTCAAATATTAAATTAGGCCTAATTCATTCGGACAAATATCTAAATACTGTGCCTAGGCTATGACAATATTATAAAGTTGCTAAGGGTATTTTATTTTAATAAAACTACCGGTACTAGGCGCAGCTCCACGAACGCCAGTCTTAAAACTACCGACCTTATGAGCGGGTTTTGAAAAACATATTTTATTTTCATAAAATGACCTAGGGTAACAATCCCTTTTCAAAGGGACCACTCCCACACTCCCTGTTTATTATGTTTTAATACGTGTCATGTGCTATTTTCCCGTGCGGAAACGTGCATCTGCTGGTTTTAATATTTAGGCCTACAACTGTCGAATTATTCTCTTGACTCACAAATACAGGCCCTAAAATAGCAAAAAAAATAGAGTCCATTCGCAAACTAAATGTAAGAGGTCAATGTAAAAGCACGCCATGCACAAAAAATAAGCGTATGAAAATAATTGTTGTAAGTATGGAACCTAAAATATGCTAATCCAATCAATATCATAAAAAATCAACGATATTCGTATGTAAGGATTTGCATTAGTTTATCTCTTTTTCAAACGCGGCGTCATATTTAAGGCCTAATGCTAATGCCATTTTTAACATAAACCAAGGTTTTCTATTAAGGCCTGTCGTGAGTAAGACCAGTAGACTGTGCTTCCGCTTCATTTTTCTTTTACTTCTTGTCTTCTATGAATGCAATGCATTTTTGTGTGGTCAAATTGGTGCAATATGCCCAGATAGCAAAAAATACTTGATTAAAGCTTGAAACAAGTTTGATTTGTCAAATCTGCAAACTTGATTCAAGTTTGCTCGGATGGGTTCGTAAACTTGATTCAAGTTAATATCATGCAACGAAATTCCCGCTCTTCAAGTTTGAATAAATCTTGAAACATTCAATTAGAATAACACTAGAAATTTCTAATTTGAATAAAAATTGAAACATCTAACTTGAATAACATTTGAAATATCTAATCTAAATATAAATTGAAAAAATACTTGATTCAAGCTTGAAATAAGTTTGGTTTGTCAAATCTGTAAACTTGAAGGATCGGGTTTGCAAACTTGATTCAAGTTAAAATCATGCGTCGAAGTTCCCGCTCTTCCAGTTTGAATAAAACTTGAAACATCTAATTTTAATAAAACTTGAAATATCTAATTTGAATAAAACTTGAAAAGTCCAAGAAATAATTGTTTTTTAGCCACTTACAAGCCCTTTTTTATTTCTGCAAATTTAATTCATATGCTTTTACCAGGATTCACTTATCCAAGTAAAGCATACGACACTCAAGGCTTGTTAATTTTTTTACTAAAAAGTATAAAATGTTGCACTTGCCTTGACACATGTAATAACAATTTCATTTTTTTTTAGGTTGAGATGCATAGAACATATAATTTTCTAATATTTCAGATATTTTTTCACAATCACAACATAATCTAATAACTTCAATACCTCTGGTTGTTAAATGCCAAGACACTTCTCTAAATAAAAAAGCGAGATATCATCTAAAAACTTATTTTTATAAAAGAGCAGGAAAAGACGAGTTATTACAGTTTTCAATCATACAATTAATTTTACCTATTATTACTATTCAGTGTACATGGAATTCCAAATTCTTTGAAATTAAAAATAAAACACAAGAGGTAATTTGTCTAAATAGATTTATATTGAAGATTTACATAACACATTTACATTTGAAAATGCCACGTCTCTTAACTTTCAACAACATATAACGTATAATGTTATAACAACTTATAACATATAAGTTATTTTTAATTGAATTAAGTGGTAATATATATGTTTTCCGTACAGATCTTCATCCCCAATGAGTGGAACTTCTTCCCCAATGTCCACAGTGACAGGTTTTTTCCCTCTGAAAAAAGTAAAAACAAATAGAATCAATATTGAATTTAAGAATAATTAACCAGAATGATTAGTTTTGTATCTGGTACAACAAAATAGGCAAGTAAGAAAAATTTTAAACTAACACAGTTTAACTCACAACCAGGCCTGTTTAGTGAAAATTAATTTATTCCTACAATGATATACAAATACAATATATGATCTTCCCACAATATGTATAAAACACATTACATTTTTTTGTCAAAAAATGCTAGACACGAGCCCAGGATTGTTTTCACATTACTTCAGGCGAGATCTAGGCGTTGCGGCATTACCACTTCGATAAAATCCGTAGGTGAATCTGTGAGATTTTATATTTTATCGTTTAAGTATAAAACTAGTGATAGTTCTTGGTAGGTTATCCTAAATATATCCAAGACATTTGTTACAAATTTTGCTCATACTTTACAAATATATTACCTTTAATTTAGTGTATAAATAAACCCAGGTAAGCCCAGCATTGCTATGAAACATGAAAACTTCTCTACAAGAATAAAAATACTAGCATTTTTATTTTTTTTTAGCTTATATACAGTACTTGAGTACTGTAATCATAATGCCAAATAAACAATAAAAAAAATTTTATGAAAAACCATTACCGTATGCACTATGCAGTAGACTCGCATTTTACCCGAACACCTTGTAACCAGACTGTACTCAGCAGAAGTTATATCTCTTAAACCAGACAATTTTTATCAGTACGGTTTAACCCCACTGGATCGGCAGGAAGTGGGCGGTACTGAAACAACTTGCCTTGTAGGAAAGATTTGAGACCATTCATCACATGTCTAAAGATCAAAAGATTTAAAAGATACAAAGTCTTTGCATCTTGTGTTTTGTTTACAGTAATTATCCCGAGGTGTCTATAGTTTGGCTATTTTTACAGGATTATCATTATTGGCTTATATATTTTGCATTAGACTTTTATCATGTAACAAGTATGAGGGCACGTCAGTTTCAACTGTCTCCTCCCCTGTATAATAGAGTCCACTGTACAGTATTATTATGCTACCAATGGAATTCTATTAATGATGAGTTTAATAGTTAGTTGGTGAAAATTTTTTATCCTTACCTTCTTTCACATCTGGTTTTGGCTTGTTGAAGCCACTTAGCAACAACGCTTGAAACTTTGGCTTCTGTGGCTTCCCTCATGCTGAAAATTTTCTGTGCAGCAACTAAAAAGAAAAAAAAAATACTTAAAATGAACTTAATACAGAATAGTACATTTAACCCCTAAGACCTAAAGTTTATCTTCCCATTTCAAACCTGGGGTTAAGTTTAATTTCTGAAGCAAAGTTTAACATTTTTCTTTCATATAATCCTTAATATTTTAATAAATCAACTGTTTGAAAAGTTCGCTCCTGATCGCGCCGATCAGGGTACATGCGCCGGTAGGGCAATCAAAATAGACCGATCCTAATATTCAACGTCACTGATAGACTAAAGGTAGTAAATTGGTCAGTAGCTCAGACCGGAAATAAAAACCTGTTATAATCAATTGGTAAGTAGTATTCTTGCTTAAGATATTTTTTACATGCTTTTGTCAAACAATAAATCTGTTTTATTGCTCCAAAGAGTAAAAGATAATATTGCTCTATGACAGGCAAATCCAAGGTGGCCATTAGCCACTAAGCCCCCCAAAAAATGGTCTCTTAATGGTTAATGGTCTCTTAATTAATTTTAAAACTTACCAAGTATGCATTTGTTGAGCTTAGTCCTCTTGAATTCTGCCTTGCTCTGCCCCCCATGACTTTTCCAGAATAGGAAAATTTTGTGGCAAGCTGGTCAACAAACACCCTGCGCAGCATATGGTGGATGGACTGCTGGAGATCTTTGCCACCCAAACTGCTCAGCAATGTAACCTGTATACATGAGTGTGTTAGGCAGACTGAAACGGAGCCTTATATTTTGTTATATGTGGTACTTTAGGTGGATCACATTTGTTTGCCTAAAAGTAAACCTAGAGTATAAAGAAATAGCATTTAAAAATCACAGAGTAAGTTAATAAAATCTTGAAAACAAGAATCAGTAAAAAATATCAGATTCAGTTTATGAGTTCTTGTAGGCCTAATTATTAAAATAGGGAATGAAGATGCCTCCATATTTGCTCGGGGCTTTAATAAAAAATTGGCCATGGCTGTGGGAGACAATGAGTTTCAATTTTTCTAAGATAGCGGGGTACGATAAATATATCTTTGCCTTCGGGGCACGATTACTAGAAAAATACTGGTATGGATCATAAACATAAACAAATGACGTTTTTGGCCCGAAAATAAACATTAGGGCCTATTTAAAACATTGCTTAAATGGAACTGCCAAAACATATGTTCAATGCTATTAGTATAGGATTCGGGCCAACAAAGTCATTTGTTTATGTTTATGATCCATACCGGTATTTTTCTAGTAATCGTGGGTTGGTTTATTTTACAATAGGTAAGTAACTTAGCTAAGTTTGAGTTAATATTTACTTTTTCGTATTAAGTTAACTTGTGGTTAGCGCAGCCTATTTTTGATTGTAAAATGTTTATAATTTGACATAGCCTAAGTTATTTCACTTTAAATCCAATATATACTTAGGTAGGCCTAACTGCTGAAATAGTGGTCTCAAAACTACACATTTACCAATATTTTTGCAGTTACAGTCAGGTAACTTATCTGAGGGTTTATAGCATTTTTGCTTGAACAAGTTTCATACCAGCTTATACCCTGGTTCTCTACCATTCCGTCTAGTCTAATGATGTGCCAAGTTGTGTTGGTGGCTGCACTTTACGTCCTACACTCATTCGAATGAAAATATTGATTATTCAATTGTTTCATTCGATATATCGTTTGGTTAGTTAGGTTAGGTAAGCTTAATCTTACCTAACTAATCAAACGATATATATCGATCGATATTTTCATTCGAATGAGTGTAGGACGTCAGTAAAGTGCAGCCGTGTTGGTGACAGGTTATTTGTAGGCTTAATTTAGAAAAATGTCCAGCTTAAGTTAATTGTAACAATGGCCGAGGCCTAACTTACTTACTTGAGGGACATTTACTTAGACATAGCCTCTACCTACCCAAATAATTTTTAATTCAATTACAACTATACGACCTTTCCATCAAGGCATATAGGCCTACTAGCCTAGGTTTAAATTAATGCAAGTAAGTTATGTACCAACTAAATTAGGGCCTACTTAGGCCCTAACAACATTATAAATAACTTATGCTAGGACCAACAGACATACACACTTACCAAAAGATTATAATTTTGAAGATAACACTTTCAGGTTCGTTGCAAGCGTAATGAAGATTTAATGATTGGATTACCGTGTTAACAACCACAAGGCCCTAGCCTATAAGTATTTATTAATTGACAACTTGTCAACCTTTACGATTGGGATTGATGAACTCACTTTCTCTTCTTTTTCAAATTCACAAACACTTCCCTTACAATAAATCTCTATAAGTATTCTTGTCGTGTCATCTCCATACATTTCCTGAATAAAATATAAGAATAAATGTTGAAGAACCTAGGCCTATTGTAATTTACAATGTTGGACCGTTGGACCGTTGGTACAACCGTTGGAATAAATAAATGAATAAACAACCCTACTTGCAACGTTGCCAATTCTACCAGGCCGCGGCCTGTAGTTAAAGGTGGCCGTGCTTGAGGGCTGTGAAGCATTCCTATCACATTTGTGTAAGTGTTTGGTTTTATATTTTTGGTTTACATTTTTCTTTTTATGAAATTGTGGAAGTCTGAGTTCTTGGTATATTTTAATGTCAGTTCTGAGAATTTCTGGTAAAGAGTCGGAGCTGTTCCATTTAATATCCATATCTTCTGACATCTTCTGACATCCATATCTTCTGACAGCTCGTGACATCTAAGCTGGCACTTGGCCGATCGCTAATAGTACCTTTTTCAAAAACATTATGTCCCGTCATGCGGGTTGCATCAACTGTCCTCGCGACCCATATGAAGGCGCTCAAGTACATAATACCGATAATACAAGGGGAGTCAACCCCGTGACGCAGCGGAAATGTTTGCAGTCCGATCTTTTCCCTACCTCCACCCTCCTCCCGCCTACACTGCCCGCGCTAGCCCAAGTGCCAGCTTAGGTGTCACGAGCTGTATTAGGTTGACACACCTATTTCTGGCGAATTCATGTACCGGACATTCGATAATTATATGTTGTACTGATTTCTTTCAACCAGCTTGATTCCTTGCAGCTTTTTTATGCCAGGGTGCCAGTTGAATAGAATAAAAATTCTAGTGGTATGGAATCTAATCTGGTAATAAATGTTGAGGATTTATTCAACTGGCACCCTCTGGCACACTGGCATGAAAAGATTTCTTACGCACGGATGATGATTTTAAAATTTTTTCTAGTTGTTGTAGGCTTTAAATTTGGCTCAGCCAGCAGTAGAGTATTACGTCATATACACTACCATCAAATAAAAAAAACACTTTATATTTTATTAATTTATACCGTGATTAGTGTGAGCATAGAGAGTGTGTAAGCGGAAAAGAGAGTGCATCAGGCATTTTGCTGGAATTACAAAAAAACATTCGACACAATAAACTATGGAACAATTAGCTACACAAATTTCAACGCAGTACAAAATCAATATGAGTAGGCTACTTGATTTGTTAAAAAGTAATAAACAACAATAATATGTAGAATTGGAACATCAGATCAACAACAATTTAACACAAAATAATTTTTACTAAGAACATAGAACAACCACCAGAGGCATGTCTCAAGGATCAATACCACCACTGTCCACTGTCCACTATTTTTACAGTCAACCTAAACAATTTCCCGGAAAAAGTTAGACAATAACTCAGATACATAGCCTACTCTTCACAGATGACATGACAATCATACTTCCCACTGGCCAATCAGCAGATAACACAAATATCACCAACGAAATACTTAATAAGGCCACCGAAATATTGCAATACAATACGCCTGAATATAAATAAAACCAAGACGATCCAATTAAACAACAACAACAACGCAGCAGAAGAAAGATGGACATTCAAACGACCAACTCGACCAAATTCCTTGGCATTATTGTCTACAGAAACCTAAACTGGTAAGATCATTCAAACTATTTATGCAAAAAAACATTCATCTGCAAAGCATGTGATGAAAGGAATCCGCACATACCCAAATTATGATGTACCTGTAGTGGCCTACAGTTCGGCCAAAACTTCTACGCGCAAGGACGGGTCGCTACTAGCCGAACTAAAAGATACGGGTACCGGTTATTGGCAGTGCTGGGGAGGGGGGAGTGAGTAGAAAGACACAAATTTTTTTCACAAAAGTACCCCCACCAACTCAAAACAAGATATGGTCGCGCGCACAGAAACTTCGGCCGAACTGTACCACTCGCTTTTTATACCCACATAAAATATCACCACCTGGGGATCAGCAAGCTCAAGAAACAATAAAAGGATCTTAATCATCCAAAAGAGCACTATCCAATCAATCCTGAGACTACACTACCCAGAACACTGTAAACCCCTTTTCAAAAAAAAGATCCTAACAATAACCCCCCAGTATATATTTGACACAATAATCTTAGCCAAAAAATCATACCTCATCTTACGATCAGATAAACACGCTTACAACACCCTGAACAAACACAAAATTAACACAAAGAAATGCCGACAACAAAAAATCAAGCAATAGCCCCATCAATACACCCCTCAGAGTATTTTCATAGATTAAACATACTCCCACAAGTACTATAAGTACTACTACTTGTGGGAGTATGTTTAATCTATGGTATTTTATACTTTTACAAGTTATTGGACATATAAAATCAACTACCACATCAACAGTTTCACAAGAAAAATTCGAAACCCCTAAGGGAACAAATCTGACGACTCCCCAATGTGAAGATTGTGGCAAGGACTACGTGGTAAATGGTAAAAGGCAAAATCCAAAAACTCTTTCGTGGAGGATTTTTCGTTGTCTCCCGTGGCATAAAAACATCGTCATCGTTTTTCGATATCACTACATCTTGAATCTTGAATGCATCCTGCGGTCTCACCTTGGGGGAGACTTCACTTGAGGGAGACGTCATCTCATGGTCTCCCTTGGTCACGGAAACGTCACCTTTTTCCGCGATGACGGTGAGTGTTGACGATAGTCCCTGGACCTCGGCGCCCCCCCCCTCACAGTGGGGTTTATGGGGGTGTTATTTACGCCACTGAGACACTGGTATCTATAGAAACGTTTGTTATGTTATATGAACGATTAGGGGTCCCCATAACGTCGACAATATATTTTGTCCATCTGGGATCATATGCTTTATCCTATAGAATCGTATGAAAAGAGGCCTAATATTTTTTTTTTTTATATCTCTCTGTAGCTTATTGTTTGCATTTTGCACAGTGTGGAAAGATATCTTTAAAAAAACAATAGAAGGAAAAAATAACCAATGCTGCTTCCTTGATATTACTATCTAGTGTACCTTGAAGTTGCATGGATCTTTAAAAGCCATGTCCTAGCCATCAAGCCATCAGCTTAAAAAGAGAAAAAAATGCCTACTGTCTCGTACTGTCACTGAGGGTCGGTTTCTCCAAACCTCGTTTAACTTAAACGCTGAAAATTGTAAACGCCCGTTTAAACGCTGGTTCGGTTTCTCCACGATATTCATCTTTGAGTTTAGTTTAAACCATCTAACATCTTGGTTGGCTACCCTGATCGTTCATCCCGGCCTAGTTTTCGTCTGCTGGAAGATATTAGCCTGACTGACCTCGCTGTATTTTCTGTTTGGATTTTGGAGGTTATATTACCGTAGCCGTAAGCTAAATAACTGAGCTCCAGAGTCCAGCTGGAGCCGAGTGTCGTCGTAGTATCGAGTGTCGCTCATCCTTCACTGTCATTGTCATTGTCATTTGCTTTGCACGTTTGCTTGAAATATCAATCTCAATCCTGTAGCTGTAATTTATAACTAATTCTTCAGAAGCAGTGAACCAATATATTGTGCAAATTAAGGAATTTAAGTTTCCTATATTTCTGTGACATCGGTTCAAATAATATACCTACCTGATTGTTTAAAAGGGTGATGATTTCCTGTTGATATAATTTGGTTTTTTCATAGTTATTCCTTTCACGTATGCACGTAAAACTAAAACTGCCAATAAACCAACATTAAGCTATGACGTCAGCGTCAGATCAGTACATCAAGAAGGCCGTGGCTGAAAAACTTCCTAACCTCAAAATGCATTGTTCACTATAAGATGTAAAACATATCTTTAGGCAGTTTCATGAAAGTTTGCTCATAAGAAGCATTTTGGTTTGATTTTATAACACGATTCTTACATTACACCAAAGTAAATATTAGTTAAAATTCGGGCCTAACCACTAGCCTATTATCATGAGTGAATTAACCACTGTCTACTATTGTAGTAGGCCTGAAACTAAAATTTAGTTTCGAAACATTGATCGTGTCTAGTGCTGAGTAGCCTAGGCCTGCCATTACAAAGGATAGGCTCTAGTTTTAATCTACATCAAACATTAATTTTGCATCTTTCCCAATATTTTATTTTCCCATGATTGTAATTAATGCAGTTAGTTTATGCGTACAGTAGTCCTACTGTTTAATTAAGTTTATTGAGCTTAATTAAACACAAGAAATGAAATGCTTAGGCTATAAATTACCAGTAGCCTACAAAAAAAAAATGTTTGTTTTTTAATGTCAACAATTGGAGACAATGACACGAATCTTAATACAAATAACCAAAACAGGAGATAATTAATGACAGATTATGTCATAGTGGGGAGCTAAACAGCTAATATTGCAGACGAAATTGCATAACAGTGTTGCCAACATAGCTGCTTGCATAGAAAAGCTAGGTTAAACTAAACTTCCATGACAAAATAGTGGGGAAAGCCATCCTAAGTTTAACCCGCCGATTAAAGTTAACCGAGATTAAGTTAAACTTGATTTAACTTGAGCCGCTGGTCGGAGCGGCTGAAGGGAGCCTCTCGGGATGAAGCAAGAAGAAGATGACGTCACCGTCTCTCGCGATTCGCGAGCGGCGAGAGCAGCAGACGTGATCAAACCCGGTGGGGCACACGGGAGGGACTAAGGCTAACATATCTTGTAGTGTCAGCGTTCGCCGCTAGGACTGCCAAGTTGAAAAAATTTAAATTAATTTTTAATTTTTTGTTATAAAATTAACTTTGTAATTATTAAATTAAAATTACAAAATAAATTTTTAATTTTAAAATTAAATTGTCATAACATAACCTAACCAACCAGACTTGCTGATAATATAAAAACTATATAAGATAAAAATCTAATTAATGATAACTTATAATTTTTAATTAATTATAAAATTAATTTTAAAATTTAGTATTATAAAATTAAACTGTCATAACCTAACCTAACCAACCAAACTTGCTGATATGAAAAATTTGTTGATAAAAAGTTAGTGCCACCGGCGGGTTTCGAACCCCGGACTTGCTGAACATCAATCCGAAACGCTACCAACTATGCCACGAACGCCGCTGCAATCACATCGTTTCGTTACGGTAATCGTGTCGCCTCAAGAGAAGACATTAACCACTAGAGATATGACGTCACTACACCTTTAGCCTTAGTCCCTTCCGTGTGCCCATTCCTGATCAAACCAATTTGTGTCCAATGTAAACAAAAACACTCAAGAGTCAAGACTCAATCACTCAATGTTAGTTGTTTGTTAGTTTTGTTTACTGTTCGTTAAATGAAATTTTAAGTTTCACCATCGACTATACGTTTTACTGATGAACTGGTGGATGATTGTACTATGTTATGGTGTTGGCAAACATTTTCCTTTTTAAAGGTAAGAAATCTAAATAGGTAACATAATAATTGTAATTCATAATTTAAATGGCATATACTATATGCCTATTTTCAGGCTTCTGCCTTTGTTATTTTTGTCCCCCAAGGAGACATCATACGCCCTATGGTAACAATGTAAAATTAGCAACCTTAATGTCCCATTTGCTTATAAACCACTAGAGCTATCAACCTGACTTTTTTAAGGTTATGGGCCTTTTTATACTTTAACTTACCAAAATTACTTACTGACCCTAACTACTGAGTAGGCTCGGGTACACTTCCATATCTGTTGGCACAAACAACCGAATGAGAATATCGATCGATAACTTATATAGATTATTCGATATATCGTTTGGTTAGGTAAGGTTAACCTAACCTAACTAACCAAACGATATATCAAACTAAACAATCGAATAATCATCATTACTCATTCTGTTGTTTGTGCCAACAGATATGGAAGTGTACCCGTAGGCTCTGTCAAACTACAAATTTAAATTGTTTCGGGTAACTTTTAGGGCAGGAACACTTGTCGTTAAGTTAGCATGAAACAGTTTGATGGCAAGGGAAGGATGAATAAATTGTGTGACCAAGCCGACAGGGAGGTTGATCCAGGAAGCTCTGCAGGTGTCAGTAACTTATAAACTAACTGTAGGTCGACAAAGTTACTTAAGTGGCTCATCCAACTGTCTTAAGTTAATTTGAATAAAAAAATGGCTAGTCTACAGTAGGCCTATGTGTGATTACATTAAGTCAAAGTATTATCTTGGTCAATTTTAAGACTAACTCATCTTTCACCTCCTTGAGACAGATGATAAGTTAACCAACACCATTTAACCCAGAAGTTATATGTCTAACCAAAAAAGTGATAACTTATGTTTAACTTACACTATTATTGTCTTGTTACAGATTCCTTGAAGGTGGCTCAATAAAATGCTAGGCATCAAAAGTAACATCTGATCTTAATTTAATTACCTTAATTACCTCCTTCGTCACCAAGACCAGCTATGCCGGATAGGTTGTGTCAATACTATTTACATATATTACTAAAAACAAAACTTTTCTCTTTAGATAAACTTTTATGTCATGGCGGTGGATACACCCATACTTTCAAAAAAATCTTTCAGGCTATAATATGGCCTATCTTTTAGCCATGTCTTCAGGGCAGTGCTAAACTTAGGAGCTTCCAGGTTCTTCAGTGTTTGGGGTAGACTATTGTAAATCCTGAGTGCCATGGTCGGGTATGAATTTTTTGTTTTTGAGAGTCTGCAGAAAGGGATGTCTATTTCATTGTTACGCCTGGTTTGATGTGCATGTATGGTACTTCTTGTAGGGAAATTTAATAGGTTGTCTTTAACATGGACGGAACACAGAAGGATGTATTGGTTATAGACTGTTAGGACCTTTGTTTTCATGAAGAGCGGCTTACAGTGATCCAGTCTCTCACTAAAAGTAATTACACAAATTGCCCTCTTCTGGAGTATGAGGATATCCTCACAAGCAGGCGCGTGTCCCCATAGCATTAGACCATAGCTCAATACACTATGGAAGAGAGCGTGGTATATCACCAGCAAATAGTGTGGACTTATCATATGGGTGAGCTTTCTAAGTAGGTGTACAACTCTTGATAGCCTTGTGCTGACCGCGTCTATATGATTGGTCCATGTAAGTTTTTGGTCTATTTTAAAGCCAAGGAGAGAGACCACGCTATTTTCTTGGACATGCTTAGCTAAGGTGCAGACCATCGCTTGTGTTTTGTCCTCATTTAGTTTTAGTTTATTGGCTGCAAACCATTGTTTGGCTTCATCAAACAGGACTTCCGCTGCATCAATCGCAAGGGCAGGGGTAGCACCAAACGAGAAGATGGTGGTGTCGTCAGCAAATCTGAGCGCGGTGCCATGGAGCTCCAAATCGTTAATGGCCACCAGGAAAAGTGCAGGCCCTAAAACTGAACCCTGCGGAACGCCTTGATTTAGCTCTGGTTCAAGAAGAAACGGGTGTTAAATGCTGATGTTTGTTTTAAATCAATATTACTTGGTAAGAACAGTTAAGACTATTTTGTGATCATATCCATGGTTTTAAAGATTAAAATGTGTGTAATAATGATAAGTCAACTTTAGTCTCTTGCTGGATCCCGTTTGGCTTAGCCAATCAAATCAACACGGTCAGAGCCACGTCACAGAGCCGGTCAGAGCCAATCAGCTGTTAGCTTGCTGAAGCATCTGACAGTCGAGGCTTTACTATAGTTTAATGATAGTTGGTTTACAAGTAGCCTATATAAACTTACCAACATACGAAAGTATTTGGGAAAAATTAAATCATGTTCAGCCCAGCTAGAGAAGATTTTATTTTATAATTTTAATAAAATTGTAGGCTATTGCAAAGCTATCCTCTTAACACTTCAGGTAGTCACATTCAAAAATATGTAGCCTAGGCTTATAGAGGATCAAAGTAAATGTTTACCTAAATTTGTTAATGTCAACAGATTTTTTAGATTTCTATTTGACTTTATGATCCTAATCATTATTCAACCTATCACTAACAAATTTGTGTTATTATTATGTTTAGACTCATGCATCTTCGGCTAAAGCGACAGACTCTAAATTAGAGGCAGTTAATCAATGACTGGCTCGGACAAGCTAAATCAAGAGGTCTGAGCCAAATACAATGTAAGTCTTGGAATAGGCTTTTATAGTACAGTAGAGTCTTGCTAATTCAAATTTTAGAGGAAAGACAATATACAGTGGAGTCCAGGTAATCCGAACTTCGGTAATCCAAAAGTCCGCTTAACTTAATCTGAAAAAAAAATTAAATTAAAATTTTTTTTTTATTATTAAACTTTTAACACAGTTAGCTGTACTTTGTCAAAGTATTCTGTAGCGGCCTGGCGAGATAGACGTTTTTTGTTGAGTATTTTAGTAGGCCTAAATATTTCCCCATTTTTGTTAGGCCAACTAACATTTTTCATTTTCGTCCCGTGTTCCAATCCCGCCAAATCACAAATGGATTTTACTAAGTGATAATGCTGCAGCCACTAGGTCTAGCCTTAAGTAATGTAAAAAACTATCCCGGGCTCGTCCTAAGACAAAAAAAAATTTAAAAATCAAAAAACCGTTTAATCCAAAATGGGTCCGGTTCCAACCATTTTGGACTAACGGGACTCTACTGTATTTCGAATCATGGGAAGTTTAAAAAAATGTAGAGAGTTTGATTTATAGAGGTCAGAAAAATAAAATTTGAATTATGGAGGTCCCAGTTTTAAGTGCAGAGACTTTGAGAGGACGGAGACTTATGAACACATCGTGGGGGACAGATTGTCAGTTTATGTTTCAACACCTATATTTTTTAGGCTTACGGTAATACAGTTCAAATTGTAGAGGTTGACTTCGAATTTTGGAGGTAACAGTTTGAATTACGGCAACAAAATTCAAATTGTAGAGGCTCGAGTATGTGCAAATTCTAATTGTAGAGGCTGCATTAAGCATTAAATGGCTTTGAATTATCGGTACCTATATTATTTTTTGGTATTTTAGAGGTTTTCTGAGGGTAACAGATAAACATTTCTAACAATAAGTTAAAGGTTTTCGAATTAGCGAGGTTCTACTGTATGGGTACAGTTTATGACTTGACATAGTGAAAAATGTAAATTTAAGTTCCAGAACATTAAAATTTGACGATGAATGTTTTTTACATAGTAAAAATTATTTCAAGTATTGCAGTAAGAGCTGTTTGCCATGTCTTATTCTGTTTCTTCATCTCTAATAAATATTTAGCCAGCAGCCTATCAATTTGTCTCTGTTTTAAATCAACGTCAGTCTGCAGACAAAAAATATTGTTACAACATAACAATGTACATTGCCATATTGTACTATTGTTTTTCAATTTTTTTTAGGAACAAATGGGACAATATTCCTGGTACTGGAGCCAAGCAACACCCGATACTTCAAGACACAAACAAAGACCAAGAATAATGTTTTTAAATTTAAAGTTTTTACCCTTTTACTTTACAAAATTAACACCTAAATTTTTAAAGCTAGCTTTGTTAAATAGATATGTGTGTTTTATATACAAAGAATTATATGTGGGCCTATTTTACGAGTAAAACTATATGCATTTTTATGTGTAAATAAATATATGTGATTTTATAAGTAAAACTATATTTCAATTCAACAACCCTTTTGATTCAATTGATATGCCAAGGTATATTGCTATTTTTGGTTTAAGAGAGAAAATATTAGTCTTAAGATATATTTATTTGACCCTATCAACCATATCATGTATTTAGCTTGTGCCAAATGTTCTCTATAGAGAAGTAACTATTACTTTAGGTGGCACGATAAGACCTAATCCCGGGACCGATATTTTTTTATTTTGATGTCATTTAACATTCAACAACGGCTGTTACGGTACGTCCAGAGTGCACGCCGATTCAGATGTTCGGCGCGTGGTTAATCTGAGTCAGATACTTTGTCAGTGGTCACAGTGGAAGCAGGAAATACAACACCGGTGCTGACTCGGTTAGCAAAGAAGCAAGTCAGTCATTGTTATTGAATTGTCGGATGAGGAATTAACGTGTGAAATAATAATGTCTGAAACTGTTGTGAAAAATGGAATTAATGATATTATATGTCTTTTTTCCCATAGCTAGAAATGAAAGAGCTTCTTTATTTATTGTGTTGCATGGAGCCCGAAACCATTGAAACAAGAAATTTGTGTGACCTGTACAAACAAAACAATTTTCCTGAAGAGCGTAAACAATTTTCCTGAAGAGGGTTTAGTGGTAACCCTAAGAGTAAGGATGAAAAAATTAAATAGTTTACCATAAAAACGAAATTTATTTAAATAAATAGTATGCGTACGAGCAAAATCTGAATCGAAATCTGAAACCAGAATTCCGGTAAGTAGGTGCCTGTGCGCGGGCTCGGAAACAGGCAGCCACTACGGCCACTTGCATTTGAATGCAAGTGCCATTCCTGCCGCCGAAAATCTCAATCAGCGTGCACTCTGGACGTACCGTTATATGATATTAAAAATTACTGGTTCGAGAAGTACACCCAATCCCTGCTGCCTATGGCGAAGCAACAGATTATTCACTATAGAGAGTTATAAAGCGACCTAAGCTTCAAATTTCACTTATTTTAAAGTCTAATGGCAGCTGGGCAAAATGTAAAACAGAGAAGTCTGAAGCCTTTGCTCAATACTTTGAGGATGTGTTCAAATGCGGAAGTAAACAATGAGGAAGAGATATTTGAGCATTTGGAGTCTCCATTGCAACTTGACTTCACATTGCAGTTAGTTAAAACCTTCGGAAGTGAAATCAATCATCATCAACGATCTTCATTCTGACAAGGCTCCTGCTTAAACCTCATAACTGGCAAAATACTTAATGAGCTTCCACATAAAGGAATTACGTTTTTGACCATGTTATTTAGGCCTAATACAATGTTATTAATTGTAATGTTGTATATTATTACGGCGATATCTTGATAAATATTAATCAGCGGTGAAAAATAATGGCATATTTGGATTCAGGAGGTAAAAAACTAAAAAAGTTAGACATAAAAATTAATAAATAACTTATACTAAATAACTAGGATACCTCAAACTGAGTTGATATTGATATATTAATTATTAATCAATACTTAATATGTTAATATATTGCAGGTCCTCTGTGGAACTTTAAGTAAACCTAAGATGGTGTAGGTTTATCCGTTGACACGAATGGATAAAAATAACAACACCTAAAGTTTCATCAATAAGTTTTTATTCGATAAATACTTAAATGTCATTAGAACACTAAGTTACACAGCCTAAGTAAGTTAATTTTCAAGTCGAAGCTTGCTTTTATATTAGGATCTTAGATGCTAACTTAAAGTATTCCAGCAGACAATCTGACATCTTTGTTTCAGATTAATCCTGACCAAGTAAGTTTAGGCAAGGCCTAAATAGATTGGGTTTCAAATTTATCTATCGACTGATTTGTTAACAACTCAATTGATTAGGCCTAGATAGCCTTAATTCAAAGGCTTTGAGTTTGTTTTTTTATTTTAGGTTTATAAAAGCTTAAGTTTAACTTAGTATTTTATTTTACTGGTTAAAAAATGTAATAAGACTTAGTATTGGCTTAAATATGCAAGATTAATTTCATATTCATGGCTAAGTAGTTATGAAATTTAATTGGGATAGCTTTATGTGTAACCGGCTGCACTTTAGTTTACGTCCAACACTTATCAGAAGGAATTTATTGATCGATAAGTTATATCGATTATTTCATTCAATATCAAGTTTGGTTAACTTAGTTATTTAGGTTAAAACTTAACCTAACTAACCGAATGAAATAATCAATATATCGAATAATCGATAATTCGATACTTTCAATTTGAATAAGAGTGGGACGTAAACTTAAGTGCAGCCGTGTAACCAACTAAGTTACTGACTGGATGTTATTGAAATTGAAATGAAATCGTTAGGCCCTATACCTACATCATTTAAAATTTATGGGTGTTTTTGTCACAGTGTCATATCTTCACTTATATAAATGTCCCACAGGTAAACTTGGTTTTAAGGCCTAACTTACTTGAGCAAGTTACTTAACTTATTAAATTAACATAATTTACATCGATAAATTATGTTCACTTAATTACTTACTCTCATTCTCATTTCTCAAGAGACGTTTGAAACCATAAAGGATTATGACCATAGCCGAATGAAGTGAGATCAATGTGCTACTATTGTACTATTAGCACTAACTTAACATCCACTTCACTTAATTAATCAAACTGTATTATTATTACAAACCAAACCTTACTACAAGTAGGCTTCTTAACCTAACCTAACTCAACGATTGAACGATTCAACAGTCAACAAATCAAGTAGAAAAAATGACGTCACACGCCAGTATCAGACAATTTTGTTTACGACTGCTCTCGCCGCTCGCGAGTCGCGAGAAACTGTGACGTCATCATCTTCATCCCGAGAGGCTCCCTTCAGCCGCTCCGTGACACTGGTATCTATAGAAACGTGTCTCTTCTATCTCTTTCTAAATACTATACAGCCGCTTGTGAAACTAAGGGATACAAATTCTAGACCACTTCTATATGAGCTAGAGACTTGAAATTTTCGGTGGTTGTAGGTCTAGTGCCCAAACCCCCAGGAAAATTCCAAAAAGTCGCGTTTTTTAATTTTAACCCCCCCGAAATCTCGTATTTCCCCCCCATGTTATTCTTATGGGAAATAACATTGAAAAATACCGAATTTCGTATGCTGATCTGAGCCGTTTAGAAACGTGCTAGAGACTTGAAATTTGGTAGTAACGTAGTACGGTATCTTAAATTAACGGGGAAATTTGCAAAAGTCCCATTTTCAAATTTCAACCCCCCCAAAAATCCAAAATGGCGGACATCTAAAAACGACAAAACACGTTTTTTTCAAACGGCTATAGCTCGAAAACGGTAAGAGCTAGAAAAGATTTGAAAGAATTTTCATGAACGGGAATTAAATTTTCTACAAAACCCTCTTAAGCGTTTTCCGAAAATCGCACTCATTCAGCTTCAAAAAACGCCCTACTTTCAAAATTTTGTAAATTTCTTTCATTTTTATACCGGTTTTCGCTATTTTTTCATACTTAAATAATTAATTTCTGCAAATATTATTATTGATTTGTATTCTCCTTTCTTTACCTTAAATTTTACTCTTTACATGTTTTTTCGTAACTTTACTCCTTGACCCCCAAAACTTAATTTTAATGTCAAAACTTGAAAGTTTTTACGAGCCCCATGTTATTCTTATGGAGAATAACATTGAAATTTAATGACTTTGTTATGGTCATCTGAATCGTTTAGAAACGTGCTAGAGACTTGAAATTTGGTTGTAACGTAGTATGGTATCTTAAATTAACGGGGAAATTTGCAAAAGTCCCATTTTCAAATTTTAACCCCCCCCAAAAATCCAAAATGGCGGACCTCTGAAAACGACATAACACGTTTTTTTCAAACAGCTATAGCTCGAACACGGTAAGAGATAGAAAAGATTTTAAATCATTTACATGGTCAGGAATTAAATTCTCTACAATATACTCTTCGGCGTTTTTCGAAAATCGCACTCCTTTACCTTAAAAAAACGTCCTACTTCAAAAAATTGTAAAAAAGTTATTGATTTTTTACGTTTTTTTTGTTAAATTTCCGGACATAAAGTTTTATTTTTTATGCTCCTAATTTTTTATGCTGAAAGAAAAATGCCCTAATACACATAAATAAACTTACAACCCTTAAAAAGATTTAAAATGGCGGATTTTTGGTAAGGACACAAGTCGCTAATGCAGTATAATGAGTTGGTTCTCGCTCTTATTTTCGCTACCAAATTTGACTATACCTGTTACAGTTTCACGTTCAGTTTCTTACTCCTATTTGGACTATTATATTTCAGATTTTGCGATCTATACTTGTTATTCGATTAAACTGTTAGTATGGATCACTATTGTGTTGCTGCTGGGTCTTTCCATCAGGGAGATCTTAGATTCACCGACAGCAACAATGCTCAGTGCATGGCTAATTCAGCCTGTGCACTCGCCTGGCAAGTGTTCTGCGGTGGATTCAGTACCAATGCCATTGACGAGATACTCATGGCCGGCGACCGTTTGTACACTCAATCTCGCCATGAGTATAACGTCATTCACAGGTATCTGTTTCTCGAGGACCTTGCCAGGAACTTCGTGGTTGCGGACAAACGTGTAACCATCGAGGAGATTTCCAGTGTTGGAGATGGTTTGTATCCGCGTTGCATCGCCGGCTTGGATGACGTGACCAGGTCCCTATCATCGATGTTGGAATCAGTCATGCCCGGTGATTCTGTTGATGGCGGCTTTTTGTTCACGGGTCAATTGGTAGCAGTCGCTTTTTGGCGTTACCAAGGGCGGCTCTACCTCTTTGATTCTCACGCGGTGAACGAAAGCCGTCGTCGTGACATTGATGAGGACAAAAATAAGGCAAGGCTGTTTGTGTGTGACAATTTTCCTTCTCTAGCCTCCCTTATACTGGCAAATGCAGCCTTCGTCGGAGGACAGTACTCCATTACAAAAGTTAAATTTTCCATCGATCAAATGGAAATGATCGAACGTCCAGACAATTTGTTGTCCCAATTATCAGAGTCTCTTTCCCAAACAACCGCGGACAAAAGTAAAGGTCCTGGTAGACCTAAGAAAACCAAACGTGGTCGTCCAAAATCTCTGGACACGACCCGGGAAGAGCAAGTGGACGCGGCAAAAAAAAATACCGCGAGACGCATCCGGACAAAAACCGCCATGATGTTCGCACGCACAGTCAGCGTCACCCCGGTACTTCTACTGAAAGGGTTCAGATATTTCGATTGAAATATCCTAATTTGTCTGAACTTCGGTATCTGCCTACTCCGCTTGCTCGATCAGTAGTGACAAATGGTCCAATGTCTGTTTGGAGTGGAGACTTATTAAACTCAATCCAACCATACACATTAAAAAAGGTCAGTCTCTGGGTGGACGATGTTTACAAATGTCGTCATTGCCAGGCACGGCTCTTCGAGGAAGAGAGGAATCCAAAGCAATGGTGCTGCGGTGAGGGAGCCTTTAATGTTCTCGAACTTCCTCCTCTACAAGAACTCTTCTATTCCAATCGTCACTTCCTGGAAAGAGCCCGTGCGTACAACGACCTGTTTGCTTTCTGCGCGCTCGAAGTGTTAGGCGGGTATCGTCATCCCAGTGGTCTTTCTTTTTTCAAGATCGAGGGAAGAATGTACCACCAGGTCTACAATCTGGACGCCCCAGGACAAAAGTTCACCACTCGTTCTGGGAACGTTCAGTTTGTGAATCGGTCCCGCCTGTATATTGACGATGGCGAAGAGCGCCGTAACATTGCGATGGGTAGATCGCTTGATGCCGAGATCATCGACGGTATTGCTGATTTCCTGTCTAGGGAAAATCCTTACATTGAGCATTACCGTCGATTGAGTAACGAGCCTTCCGTTACAGCTCACTTGGCTTTTGAAGTAACAAGCAGGTCTACCCATGGCCCTGTTCTCGGCGATCGGCAAACAGGCATTGAAGTGCACGCCGTGCTCAGCAATGATGAAAACGACACTGAGCCCCGGTGACTGACAATATGGAAATCTGGTTCTGACAGACCTACTTTTATAGATCTTTTACATCCCCTAATGGAACCTTTCCAATATCCCCTACTCTACCCGCAAGGCACTGTGGGATGGCACGTTGGTCGCCTTGACAACAAGGGTGCCAAACTAACTCAATTTAAGTACTCGCGGTGCCTCCTACTTTCGGAACCTCGCTTCTCTCACCTAGGCCGTCTCTCACAAGCTTGGCAGGTTGAGATGTTCGCGAGATACGAGGAGGAGAAACTGCGTTATATTAAGTTTACGCAGCTGAAGAATACCGATAGTGCCTTGCGGGTAGGGCCGGTTGACGAGATTCGGAATGCACAGCAGGTCTTGAACGACATCGCTGGTGATGAAACCGTACAAGGCGAGGGCGGGGTGCAGGCAGGAAAAGTCTACCTCCCAAGTTCGTTCACCGGGGGACCCAGGTACATGAAAGTAAAATACGAAGACGCTATGGCAATAGTATCGCGCCTGGGTTCCCCCACTTTCTTTTTGACGTTTACGTACAACGCGACTTGGGAGGAAAACAAGAAAGCTTGCCCTCGTGGAGGTACTCGCAGTGACCCTAGCACTGCTTGCAGAGTTTTTAGAATTAAACTTCTGGAACTTCTCCGAGACCTGCGCAGCGGAGCAATGTTCGGACGCTCTGTCTATATCGTCTACGTCATCGAGATGCAAATGAGGGGCCTTCCTCACGCCCACATTGTTTTCAAGATTGACGGAGACGGACCAGTTCAGGCGTCCGAAATTGACTCCATCATCCGCGCGGATATTCCCTCGGAAGAAGAGGCCGGAGGCCGACTGAGGAAGTTGGTCCTAAAACACATGATTCACGGTCCATGTGGTAATGATCATAGGACTGACTTCCTCTGTTGGGACTCTGCAAAGGGTTACTGCACCAAGTACTTCCCCAAGCCCTGCTGTGAAACCACCCACGTCGACGAGAGGGGATTCGTCCAGTAAAAGCGAGATTATACCAATCAGGGGACAATTATTTCAAGAAACAGAAACATCACCGTTCACGATGGCTGGGTTGTGCCGTATAACTCCGCACTTTTATTGAAATACGAGGCCCACATCAATTTGGAGCTGGCGTCTACTCGCCGCGTGATTAAGTACCTCTTCAAATATCTTATGAAGGGAGGATCTCTCCAGAACGTCACAGTTACTCCCTTCAGTAAGCAAGATGATGAGGTACAACATTACGTGACGAAGAGGATGGTGGGTGCCAGTGACGCGTGCTGGCGTTTGTTAAACTTTCCAGTCTCAGAATCTGAACCGACGGTTGAATGTCTTCCCGTCCATCTGGAGGGCAAGCAGTCCGTCCTGTTCAGACCTGGCCAACTGGCAGCGGCAGCCGCTAGGAACAGCTCAAAACTTACAATCTACTTCAACCGGCCTCGTATTTCACTGTTTGACGACGTGACATATCAGGGTTTTTACGAAACGTTTGTGGTCCACGTCAAGCGCCCTAAAACTGCGGAGATATACGAGCACCCCGACGGCGTCCATTTTATCACTGCCCGCCAGCGTGGTGAGAAGGTGTGCAGACTGTTTTGGGTCTCTCCGAGCAGGACTGAACAGTACTATCTGCGAATCCTCCTCATGACTGTTCCTTGCCGTGGATATGCTGACCTCCTGTCCCGCGGTGGACCCAACTGCCGCACTTTCCAAGAGGTCGCACGGCATCTCGGATTGGTGCAAGATGAACAGGAATACCACCACGCGTTGCGCGAGGCCGCCACTTTCATGACTGGCCCGAGACTCCGTTCTTTCTTTGTGATACTCTGCAACATGGGAGCTCCCGCAGCCCTTCTGTGGGATGCCTTCCGTGATTCAATCTGCGAGGACCACATTGAGCGTAACCCTCTCGATGTTGAACTGGCCTACAAGCTAGGTCTCATCGAGATTGATCGAAGTCTCCGTCGACAGGGCTCTTGCGTCGCAGATCACGGCCTCCCCGATGTACACGATGACACGACGGAGTTGGGCAGAGAACTGCTCTTACACGGCGAAAATCAACAGAGAGCGTTTGTGGAGGAGTGGGTGCCAAAGCTCTCTGAAGACCAACACCGTGTATTTGAGTACGTTACCTCCGTTCTTAATGCCCCAGCCAGCGGAACGTCGTCGAAAATCATTTTCCTCGACGGTCCGGGTGGCTACGGAAAGACCACTCTGATTCGTGTCATCCTTGCATACGTGAGAGGTTGTCGTCAGGTTGCACTGGCAGTCGCCAGCTCTGGGATCGCCGCGGGTAACATGCCTGGTGGGACTACAGCGCACAGCATGTTCCGGTTGCCACTCGACTTCGGTGACGGCACTGGCTTTTGGAATATCACCAACGGCTCCCAGCGAGCAGAGCTCATCCGGGCCGCAAGGCTCATTGTCTTTGATGAGGCCCCGATGGCACATCGGTTCGTTTTCGAGGTTCTTGATAGATCCCTGCGAGACCTCATGCGCTCCAATGAACTATTCGGTGGCAAAATCTTTCTCTGCTGTGGTGGCTTCCGCCAGATCGCACCCGTCGTTGTGAACGCTCGAACGCCATCCGACATCGTTTGTGTTTCACTTCGGGCCTCCCATCTGTGGCAGCATTTCAAAATCTTTGCCCTGACAACAGCTCATCGGACTAGTAGTTCCACAGCCTATTCCGAATTCCTTCTTAGGGTAGGCAACGGAACTGTCAGTTCGACCACTTTCGTGGAGGGACGGAACGAACAAAGTCTAATTCCGCTACTCGGAATTAGACAAGTGACGTCTTTGACTGATTTGGTCGATTCCGTCTTTCCCGCAAACGTCCTACTCGACTCTGATATGTGCTCGCGACGCGCAATCCTCTCGACTCTGATAGTGAACGTCAAGGAGATCAACGACCACATCTTGAACTCCCTTGACGGTCATCTGTACGAGCTGAGGAGCGCCGACACAGTGGACAGAGAGAACGACGATGGCCTGGATGTTGACGTTCAACTCCTGAACACGGCTACTGGCAAGGGCGTACCAGACCATGTTCTGCGCCTGAAGATCGGCTCTGTTTGCCTCATCATGAGGAATCTCAACATCGCTGAAGGACTCGTCAACGGCACTAAAGTCATTGTGATCGGCATCTCCAACCGTCTGATTACAGTGAGACTTCCCGGACAGACGCAACCTATCGGGATTCCCCGGATTACCTTTACTTTTGCGTTTGTCGAGGGTTCGCCGTTACGTGTTCGTCGACGTCAGTTCCCACTGATGTTGGCCTATTGCATGACCGGACACAAGAGCCAAGGTCAGACAATAGATTCAGTTGGTGTTGATTTACGGACCGATTGCTTCACGCACGGGCAACTGTACGTCTTGCTCAGTAGAGTCAGACATCCTGACCATATTGTCGTTCTGGTACATCCCGAACGTGTCCGAGGTGGAATCGCATACGCGAAGAACATCGTGTATGACGATCTCCTACTCTAAACCGGACTTGACACCAGCAGTAGGCTAGGGGATCTGCTTCATCAAAACTCCCCGTCGTGACTTGACAACACCGGCAGTACGATAGGGGGCCTGCCTTACCAAAAGTCCCCGTTGTTGTACATATTTCCTTTTAGTTATTTTTTTTTTAGAAATAAGTCGTTTTTTGTGTGTGTTTAGTATTCTAGTTTGGCAGTACGATAGGGGGTCTGCCTTATCAAAAGTCCCCGTTGTTGTATATATTTTTTCTTCTGTTTATTAGTTAGTTTAGTTGTATATATTTCCTTTAAGTAGTTAGTAAAGTTAACTAACTTGTACATTTGTAAATGATTGTAAATATGGTTCCGAAGTTTCCTGGCCTCCTCGTGGCGGAACTGGATATGCCATAAAGTTTATGGCTAACCGACAGGGAAACAAACATTACTTTATCTATTTTATTAAATATATATATACATGAATATCTAATATAATCTATTTACTTCATATAATACTTTACTATTATCAACTTATTAACTTATCAATCTACTTATCTTATACAAAAGTTTACTAACTTGTACATTTTTAAATAATTGCAAATATGGTTCCGACGTTTCCTGGCCTCCTCGTGGCGGAACTGGATATGCCATGAAGTTTATGGCTAACCGACAGGGAAACAAACATTACTTCATCTATTTTCAAAAATAAATATATACATGAATATCTAATATAATCTATTTACTTCATATAATACTTTACTATTATCAACTTATTAACTTATCAATCTCCTCTAATATATTATCACTATAACGAACCCTACTCTCCTTATATTAGTACTTTACTTGACCAAAAACTCAGTTTTGAAAATACTTAACTAACATACTCTCTTACCGCAACTTTAAAAATTATTTTTTTATGAGAAGTTCTTTAAGGTCGAGCTCGAAGATAACTTTCCAATCTCCTCTATAGAAAGTTTTCAAAAAAATTTCACCTCTTCCTGCATTGTAAAGACTAAACTATAATCTACTAATGACGACTAACAGCTAGGGGGCCTGGGGGCGGAGCCCCCAGCGAGCCAAAGGCGAGTGTTATGTTATATGAACGATTAGGGGTCCCCATAAGGTCGAAAATATATTTTGTCCATCTGGGATCATATGCTATATCCTATAGAATCGAATGAAAAGAGGCCTGATATTTTTTTTATATCTCTCTGTAGTTTATTGTTTGCATTTTGCACAGCGTGGAAAGATATCTTTAAAAAAAGGAAAAAAATAACCAATGCTGCTTCCTTGATATTACTATCTAGTGTACCTTGAAGTTGCATGGATCTTTAAAAGCCATGTCCTAGCCATCAAGCCATCAGCTTAAAAAGAGAAAAAAATACCTACTGTCTGCCCAGAAACGAGTATTTACTCAGGGGAGGTATAGAAGAGGCTGCGATGACAGCTGAGGGCTTCTTATTAGCTGAGGGAACGCCATTACCGTAACAAAACGTTCAACAGACATCGGCCTCGGTGGACTATTGGTTAACGTGCCGGGCTGATATACTATAGGTCCCGGGTTCGAATCCTACTGGTAGCATTAACTTTTTGTCCAAGATTTTTTATTATCAGCAAGTTTGGTTGGTTTTGTTTGGTTATTACAGTTTAATTTTATTATTAAGTAATTATAAAATTTTAATTAAACAATTTCTAGTTTTATTTAATAAAAATAATTATTTTTCCGATTACTAAACTTTTGTTGTATTATTTCTTTATCAGCAAGTTTGGTTAGTTCGGTTAGGTTATGATAGTTTAATTTTATAATTAAAAAATAGTAAAATTGAATTTGAGGCATTTATAATTTTATTTTATGAACAGAACTATTTTTGCGACTAGTAAACCTTCATTGCCAAAGTGCTCTCTACTACAGCGCTGTTCACGGAGGAATTTTGAACTAAATGCCTCATTTGTACCTCCCCTAAGTCAGACCCCCAGAAACGCTCGCGATTAGACTCTTCTAACTGGTCTTAGTTCGTTCTTGTTTCATCGGCAAGTAAAATCTTCCTGTTATGTAGTGTTTGGCTGAACCCAAAATTGGGTGAGTAAATTTAATTTTATTTAGGGCCGCTTTCCCCAAATCAAGTTTAACTCTGATCGCGGTTTAAACTCTAGTTTAACCTCAGATTCACTTTCCCCAAAATAATTTCTCCGTTTAAACTAGGTTTAAGTTAACCCTAGGGGTGAGGCTGGTTTAACGGTTTAACTGGCGATCCGTGGGTAAACCCAGGAGAGAAGAATAATAGCTTGATTTTGATTTAGTGATGTGACGAGTCGAGTACTTGACTCGTTAAGTATCGAGTCCAATGAAGTATCGAGTCGACTCGATACCAAATCGGCGATACTCGAGTACTATTACTCGTGAACTAAAGCTTACTAGATCCGCCGCTACGAGTCCATAGCGCTTGGGTTGGGTGCATTTAATACTCGTCTACTCGAGTCGAGACTCGGATGTTGTTCCAGATTTTGCCACTACGAGTCGACAGCGCTTGTGTGCTTGACACTACTGACAGTTCGTATTAATACACTGCTGAATGTTCAAGATATAGTTTCAAAACTATCCGCTACGAGTACATAGCGCTCGAGTAATTTGCTTACTCGAGTCAAGACACTGTTTGTTATTGATCTAAGTTTTATAATAACGAATAAAATCCATAATTATCAACTCAATGTGAGATGAATAACCTATCTCGCTCTCATCTTAAATATACACAGAGTATAAAACGAGTCCGAGCCAAGTCTGTCCGACTCGAGTAAAGGGACTCGAGTCCGAGTCAAACAAGCTCCATTACCAGTACTCGCACGGCAGCTACGAGTCAACAGACAGAGCTTCGGTGCTATACAGGTCAGAATCGAGTCCAGTACTCGAGTACCGACTCGAGTAGTTGTGGTATCGAGTCGAATTAACTCGAGTAGGGAAAGTACTCGACTCGTCACATCACTATTTTGATTGGCTCTTTGGCTGACTTGTTACGTTCGGCAGACGGCAATGGCAAATATCCTTGTTTGACGTTTGTTAAACATAACCTAAAATAAATTGAACTGGAAATAAATTAAGAAATAGCAAACCAGAACCTATGTAGACAATTAATTCATGACTATTCCAAATTTAAAGATATAAGGCTACAGATATACAGTAATGGTTTTAAGGTTTTTAAATGCGTAGAGTAGGCCTAAATTGTTATATTTTCGGTAGGTAGTATCGTAGTTGTGTACAATCGATAGGTTACCTTGTCCACAGCAACGCAACAGTGGTTGGAAAGTTTGCTCATAAGAAGCCTTTTGGTTTGATTTATATTAACTCGAGTCTTACATTACACAAAAGTAAATATTAGTTAACATTCGGGCCTAACCCCTAGCCTATTATCATGTGTAAATTAACAACTACTGTAGTAGGCCTAAAATTACAATTTAGTTTAGAAACAATTGATCGAACGTGTCTAATGCTGAGTAGCCTAGGCCTGTCATTACAAAGGATAGGCTCTAGTTTTTAATCCACAAACATCAATTTTGCGTCTTTCCCAACATTTTATTTTCCCATGATTGTAATTAATGCTTTTATTTGATGCGTACAGTAGGCCTACTGTTTAATAAAGTTTGAGCTTAAACACAAGAAATGAAATGCTTATAAATTAGCATCAGTAGGCCTACAATTTATCAGCCTGCAAATAAAAATGTTTCTTTTTAATGTCAACAATTAATTGGAGACAATGACACGAAATCTAATACAAATAACCAAAACACGAGAAAATTAATGACAGATATGTCATAGAGGGAAGTTAAACAGCTAATATTGCAGACAAAATTGCATAACAGTGTTGCCAACATTGTTGCTTGCAAAGAAAAGCCAGGTTAAACTAAACTTTCATGACAAAATAGTGGGGAAAGCCTTCCTAAGTTTAACCCACAGATTAAAGTTAACCGAGATTAAGTTAAACTTGATTTGGGGAAAGCGGCCCTAAGTAGGACTAAATTAATCTTGCCTTGCCAACCAAAACAATCATTTAAAGTAATTAAAACCTTTTGTTAAAAATTGTAAAACGTTAAAGAACTTGCTCAAAAATAAAAGTTTAATTCTGATTAATTATGTAGGGGAGAGTGGTACATACTGGGACAGAAAAATTAAAACATTTTTTTCTTCATTGACATAGAAGAACAATCTTTACACAAAAATAAAGCTCTTTTAAAACACTTTTATTGATATTTTTTTTTAAATTATAAACATATTTAAAAGGCCAAAAACCATTTGTCCCGCTTTATACCACTTGTCCCAACATGTTCCGACCCTGGTACAAGGTGGGACAGGCTATGGTTCAAAGTGGGACAGCATATGGTACAAAGTGGGACATCCTGTTATGCATAGGAGGTATACAAAGTTCATTACGAGTAATTGAATCACATTGGCTTCAGATTGAATACTCGTCGGCCCTACAGAGTCATTCTAAAAGTTAGGCAAAATTCTCCAAAACACTTTAACAAAGGCTGGGATGATATAGCTCCAACTGGGCGTCTGCAGGATTTCCTGAGCGCTTCTAGAGCTCTGAGCCTTCGATTAAAATTTAAATAAATTGATCAGTCAAAGCCGTGACAACTTCGTATCGACCCCTGGATTTTTCTCGGCTCCTTCTGAGCACTCCGGGGAAGAAATTTGAGTGTGGCCGGTTCTAGGGGTAGGCCTAGCCTGACTTAGGTGAATATTAGTTTATTCCCCCCCCTATAATTTTGCGTCACAAATATTTAGGCCCTATCTAGTCCATAACTTATAATTTTTTATATAAGTTCGCCTCTAATATGTCTTCAAATATACGAAACTAAAATAGCCTATTTTCATTTGCAGGAGCATGTTCCACAGTACTTGTATAGACGAGTACTGTCAATACCGTATCATTTTCCCGGCTGATTCAACAACAGTGGTGTGCCGGGGATGCGGACAGACTCACAATGTGAAAGAATTACCCGATATAAAACCTGTGGAGGGATTGGAAACCAAGCTGCAAAGTCTACTGACCAGTTTGTCGGTAGAATCTCAGGCTCCTGAGAGAGGTCCTGAAAATGTGAAAGTGCTTGGAGCTTCTAACTACCACCACAAACTTTTGTCCCATCTTTTAACAACGCATGGAATGGATGAGAAAAAGGCGAGACCGCTCAATGAGCTCCAGAGACCGACATTGGGCTGGAGCGAGTTTGGAGACTTATGCTTCAGTATCGAGGAGAGACATTTGAACCTCAGCGGCTACGGCAGGGATCTAAGCGGAAGCGCTCAATACCTGAAAGATACCCTGGATCTGATACTGCAACATAATGATAACAAGTAAGTTATTTGTTGTCAAAGCTTTAACCCTCCAAGTGTCCATAGTTTAGGCCTTAATGTCCACCTATTTTTGGCGCATTTGCAAGGTTTTATTAAAACGGATCTGAGAAGCTTAAAACAATGTTAATTCTAATGTTCTATATACCATTTTGTTTGGAAAATAATGGGCTTCAATATTATATATAAAACATAAGGAACATTTAAAAAAAAAAAAAAAATTTTTAGGTAAAAAAAATATAATTTCAAAAATTTTCAAAAAAAAAAAATAAGTTCGCGCTCAATGAAATTTTATAAATTATAGGCCTACAAATATTTGAAAATAGCCACTTTGTTCTAAATTTTATGAGGATTACAAATATATAATAATATAAGGAAGTAGATTTGCAAATAAATAAGTTATGGGCAAAAAACAGATTTCAGTACATAGCGTTTAGCTAAGAATGCATAGCCTAACCATAGCTAGGAATCTGGCTGATAATTTACATCAATATCACTACCTACTTCTTCAGGATCATCAACCAGCACTTCAAAACCACTTAAATCTTCTTATAATGCAACACGTATATCACTACTTTTGATTTTTAACACTAAAACAATGATAAACGTAATAAAACACATCAGTCATCGGTCCGAGGGTAACCTAGCTGTTTACAAATAATACACGCACACGCACGTCAGCTGTCTGCTACAATTAATTACGATCGGCTCAGAGAACGTACAGCGCTGAGACAGACCTCTGGAGAAAGCTTAGAATATTACGGAAAGAACGATACCTAACTCGATCCAGTTCAATCCGATTCAGTCAGTCATAGAGCCTTCGCCGTAAACGATGTCTGCGTGTCGAAAAATAGACGCGTGACACTACACAAAGTGTGCTGTTTATTTATATCTTATTTGTCAAATAGAACACAATACGTAGTTTTGGGAAGTGATGTATCATCTCTTAAGCCTGTATTTTGTGGAGTTCCCCAAGAATCTGTGCTTGGGCCTCTGTTGTTTTTGATAGTAGTTAATGACTTAAGTGTTAATATCCCTGCAAACATTGTTCTATATGCCGACGACACAACCATCATTAGGTAGGCCTACTAGAGATGCAGATCATGAACAACTTTTGGCTGACTCTATGCATAATCTAAAGCTGGCTGAAAACTGGTTAATTTCTAATAATCTTGTACTAAATAATGATAAGACAAAAACTGTTTTGTTTAACCTGCGTGAAGTACACAGTACGCCAATGGATGAGAGAAATCAAAAATTTTTAGGATTAACTTTTGATTCTACTTTGACCTGGCATGACCATGTTACAGTTTTAAAAAATAAACTGAGTTCAAGTATATTTGCACTTAAACAATTATGTGGTGAATTAGAACGGCCTTCTCTCATACAGGCATACTATGGACTTTTCCATAGCCATTTAAGCTATGGGTTACTTGTTTGGGGGTCTTCTGCTCACGCAAAAGAAATGTTCAATCTGCAGCAAAAGGCAATTAGGGTAATAGCTGCTGTAGATAGGCACCATGATTGTACTGAATTTTTTAAAGAATACCAAATATTATCACTGTTTTCTCTATTTATTAAGCAATGCCTGTTATATCTAAGACCACAATTAGATAAGCTGGAATATAGGAGAGATATACACTGCCATAATACTCGTCATAAATGTAATATACATAAATCTTCCTTATGTTAGACTTGCTAAGTCTGATAAAAGACCATTAATTTTAAGCAGTAAATTTTATAACAAGTTACCAATAGCCATAAGATTACTTAGTGATAAGGATTTCAAGATTAAAATAAATAACTTTCTTTGTAATCAGCCATTATACTCAATAGAAGATTATATGTCAAGGACACTGACTCCACTGGATTTTAATTAATGTTATGTTATGACTAATTTGACTAATCTGTATTTGTATGGAATATTAACTGGCAAATAAAAATCTCATTCTCATTCTCATTCTCATTCTCATAAAAATTAAGATAGACAATGTTAATTTGAGAGAGGATTTTCATGAGCATGACACTAGATCTAAGAACCTTTTTGATGTGCCATTTGTTAGATTAAGAAAAAGTCAAGTTCAACACAGCTTATTAAGTTTAAGATTTTTTAACAGACTCCCATGTGAAGCCCGAAACCAGAATTTTTCAAAATTCAAAACCAACCTCAGAAACCTTTTATTGGCCAACCCACTGTATTCCTGGAATGATTTTTTTAATATACCAGCAGCATCCGTAAGTACCTATTTTTAAGTTTTACCTATTTTTAAGTTTTGACTCTTGATATGTGATATTTATTTGACTTGCATGTGTAATTAGACCTTGCATCTTTTAGTTTTTTAGTTGTGAACATACAGTGATTATTTATTATTATATATTTATTTATTTATTGTAGAACTTTTGAGAGTTTTGTAGAAAGCATGTTGATTGATATTGAATTTGCCTTGTGAATGCCTTGTGATCATTATGCCTGGTTTAACTGACGATTCCAAATGCATGTAATTTGTCAAAAGGAAAATAAATATTCTTATTCTTCTTATTCTTATTCTTATTCATTCATTATTATTGATGATTTCTTTTTGATAAAATAAGCTTATCGATATTTTTGTTTTACTTCACCATCCGTATTCCATCTGTTTTAATATCTTCAAACGTGTTTAAATTACAAATTAAATACCAACCTTGTTTAGATCAAAATAATAGCCTAACTTATATAAGTTATTGGATTAGGAAATGAAACTATTCACCTAACATATCTAACCAAACTTGCTGTAGGCTAAGTTACCGTTTCACGGAAATAGCATGTGGGGAATAGGCTATCAAACAGAATTTTGAAATGTTACAGCAAGTTGGTTGGTAAGTTGGATACACTTCCATATCTTTTGGCACAAACAACCGAATGAGTAATATTGATTAATCGACTGTTTAGTTTGATACAAGTTATCGTTTGGTTAGGTTAGGTTAACCCTTACCTAACTAACCAAACGATATATCGATCGATATTTTCATTCGGTTGTTTGTGCCAACAACTTATCAGGCTATATTCGAGGATATTTATTCAAGTACTGTTGATACTCTAAACGGATTAATTATCTGGAGATATAACGTACGTGAGCATAACATGTGAATTAGGTATTTGCAAAACATCAGTTCATGAGGGCCAATTTTATACTAATGTGAACAAAAACAATGTGTTGTACACACTCATAATACGCTTAAGCCTACGCTCATACAATTCCCTTTTTGCCAACTTGTAAATAAGTTTCCAATATTTTTAATGACCTAAGACGGTTCCTTTGATACAAGTTATCGTTTGGTGGGGTTAGGTTAACCTTACCTAACTAACCAAACGATATATCGATCGATATTTTCATTCGGTTGTTTGTGCCAACAGATACGGAAGTGTACCCCAATATTTATTTACTGTAGGTATCCTTATTGTAGTTGTCAGCTGATATGTTTCAATTTGTTATTATCAATGGGGTAGGGCCTATATCGGATAGAAAAATAAAATATCGATATTCGATAAGAAATCATCGATAATAATCCCCATACTTCCCCAATATTTCATCTATAGTACTAGCCTGTAAATATTTTACCTACGGAAAGTTACTTGTTAACATGTCAATAATTAATTAACAATAATTAAGCTTACATCATGTTATTGGGTATCAACTAAAACTAGTTCAACAATTTAACTTTATTATGGTTTCCTTTATTTATTTATCCTATTCCGTTGGCTATCTGCTTGCTTCTACCACGCTATTATTGCAGTTACTGTAGTTAAATCACCTATCAACCACAATCACAAAAACTTGAGGTAAACAAGCAGACGACAGGACAGACAGAGACTAGCAGACTACACTCTGCAATACTATTATCAAAACAACTCGTAAACAAACATTTACTAGAATGTTAACAGTCGAAACAACAACACGAACCAGCTGTGTTTAACCGTCTACTATTGCGTAATGGTTTTTGATTGGTTGACCACATTTCTCCGCTCCATTGTACAGTAAAAGAGCAAAATAGTTGTTGCCAACCTCTTTCTCATTTGGTGCGATTTGCAGCCAGCTTTATTAAAATGTGATATTGTATGAAGTGATATTCTGTGCATCTCTCACGAGACGATCGTCTGTGTAAACTGCAGACCACCGCTAACAGTCATTTTGTTTCTGGGTAGTATCAAACTGGTAACAAGATTCATTCTCAAGTCCTAAAACGTCTTTACAAAAATAACCTTTTAGGCTTTCAGCGAACCCTCTTTTTACAAAAATACCCTAATAATACTTTTGGACCTGAAAGTTATAAGTTGAATAGGCCGTATTCGTTTGTGTTTTAACTATAGACATAACATTACGTTAACATATTATGTACCTAGACTGTTGACTTATATCAATTAACTTAGGTACAATTGTATTGTTACAAGACTGAACTAGCTGTGGGGATCAAGTAGTCAGTTAAATTACTACTAATTTTATTTGTGCAGAGAGACGCTAGTTCCGCTGCATGTTGATGGCGATGGCCATTGCCTAGTACATGCAGTTTCTAGAGCGCTGGTTGGCAGACAAATATTATGGCACCCACTTCGTTGTCACCTGCAAATTCACTTCAAGGCTTATTTGGATACTTACAAGGTTCGGACATTTGATTTTATTAATGTAGGCCTATTAAGTTTAGGAACAATGTGTACAAAGCTAATATGAATGAATGCCAAAGCTATAAACAGATCTTGGCATAGTCCAGTTTTCAATTTTCTGTTTTTTTTAATTCAGTCAAATTTTTTCTTAATTATTGAGTTTAGGAAGAATGTGTATAAAGCTAATATGAATGCATGCCAAAGCTATAAACAGATCTTGGCATAGTCCAGTTTTCTATTTTCTGTTTTTTTAATTCAGTCAAATTTTTCTTAATTATTATCATTTCTGTTTTAACGCAGCTTTTATTCCAAATTACAAACTCAATTTTTAGCACTTATTTTCCAATGATCGTCAATGAACTATGGGGTTTTATGATCTCCAGACCTCCATGTCTGGTCCAGTACAATTTTCTTGTGATGCCCTTGCTATTGGGCTGATATTAAATTGTTTGTGAGTCTGTGATGTTGATTGATTCAGATACTTTTTAATACTTTTTAATACCTTTCAATGAAATGGCGACCATGTGGTGAGTCGGTAGCGTCACGGTTACAGACTCCGGGCCCAAGGCAGCGATGTCTTGGGATCGGATCCTGGTCACTGCTGATACTTTATCTGTGCAGTTGACCCTTTTTATCAGTACAGTTGACCCTTGTACAGTACCGGCTCACCCCTTGCCTCGCTGGATACGTTCCATGCACAGGTCCATAGCCTATGTGTACGGGCAAAAGCAAGGTTAAAAGATGATGCCAACCTCATTAAAAAATAGTAAAGTAGGCCTGAACAAAATTAAATTAAAGCTTAAATAAAGTATAAATTAGCCTATATAGCATTTTTATTTATTGTTTTAAATCGCAAAAAACAGCCAAAGCACGTGTTTGTCACCTCCAATCACTAAAATGCAGAGAAATTTGCGAGCTGTAAACTTGATAATGCCAGAGTTAAATTCAACTAACTTAATTTCACTTCATTATTAGGTTAGCTAGGTACAATTAACTCAATCCATTTTCTTGTCATTAATTTAAATACTGTCCTGCAACTCCTTTATACCTTCCCATAATCATGAGAGAAAAAGTGATCTTTTGTTAGGTTCAAGATAGACACCTGCGTAACCAACACTTCCCTCGATTTATTTTAATAATTTTGCTTTGGGAGGAAACAATTTTTGTTCACTTTCCACGAGGTCAAGTGGCTCAGTCAATTAGCGTATTTCCCATATGGCCAATATTTGTGAAGGGGTTAAGCTATTACCATAGGTCTTATAATAGGACCCAGAATCAGGACTGATTCTTTTAAATGTCTACAGTCAAATAATCATTTTAATATACATATAAGTTGGCACAATAACTCAGGTAAAGCCGATCCGATTTTTATGAAATTTGGTGCAAACATGTAAATCCTAAGTATAATATTTCCACCATTTATGCTTCATAATAAAGTGTATAAAAGTGTTTTAATTTCTCAACTTGTACAGAAACTCCTTGGAGAATTCATCACGGAGTCGGATTGGCAGCGTATAATTTCAGAGTGTGACCCGTACTTTAACCCACCTGATGATATCGTGGGTCTGAGACCGATACATGTGTTTGGGCTAGCCAATCTACTGCGGCGACCTATCCTCCTGCTGGACTCTGTGGCCGGCATGAAAACTTCTGCTGCTGACTATGCCGGTATGTGCAAACTACTCATGGTGGAGAGGAAGGGTCTATGGGCCAGTCTTTTTTACTTCTGGTCGAGCCAAAAGTGGGTTACTTTGGAAATGATTTAAAAAATAAGAGGAGACTGAACCATTTATGTCTTAAAAATGCAGTTTTTGTTTTTCATCTCAAATTAATCTACGTTACTTCCTGATTAAGAAAATATATAATATTTAGAATAGTTACTTTGTTATGATAACAATAAATAAAAAAAGCTAACTCTACCGAGGTTTGGGCCACACTATTCTTATGGCTTTAAGTGTGGGCTGCAAAGCTTTAAGTGTGCTTTTCCAAAAGTTTGTTTTTTAATATTTAGGTACACATATTTTAAAAACTATAATACTATTCCAGGGTGGCCAATTGAATATAATTATATGGTGTGAATTTAGATCCACTTCCTTTAGCTTGCGGATCAGAGCCAAGAGGGTCGCCAAGTTGACCAGTGAACGAGGGGAGTCAAATAAGAATGACTCAGTGAATTACGGTTCAGCAATTTATTACTTTTTAAATAAAATAACCCTTTTCACATACGCTATAAGTAACTGTTATTAGTACCCAATAAATAATAGATAGACTGGTACATTACTGAATACAGCAGGGGTGGGCTGGGCCATGTTTAGATTTAGCTGTACAAATTTGACTCCCGTCTGCAAAATCATTACACAAGCTTAAATTAAAATAAAATAAAATTACAAGAGACCTGTTGGAAAAAGTATAACTTAAAAGGTATAAAACATTGATTTGGATTGCTTATAAAGTGTTCAATACAAAAAAACATTCATTGAGTTAAGTTACTTTAAATTGAATAAAAATTACATTTGACCAGAACCTAATATTAAAATTATATAGTTCTCATTATTAAATTTATATAGCTTTCAAAACATTTCTGATGTTTTACTATTCAAGTTACAAGAAATTACAAACTCAAACAGGCTAACTGACCACACGTGGCAAACGAAATTTAACAGTAAATAAAGACTTGTACAAATTGGTTAATTATGTTTTTCAATTAAATTATAGCACCTGAAAAAGCGTTTAACACATGAATATAATAATCCTTAAACTAAATAAATGTAACACTTACATTATCACAGGAGCCTTGCAAACCTGTAGCCAGCACCCCTACTAGTACATGATATGATTTTAAACCCAACGGACAGATAAGCATTGCTGACCTCGGCCACCGCAGGTGGCGCTAAGGGCGGGAAATTCAAATTGAATCAAAATAGGCTTTAAAATTTCTTAACACACTACGTACTGGCATAAAATTTTCCCCTGCTTTTAAAAATTTTACAAGCCTATAAAAAAACAAATAAACTCACTTAGCTCTTCTAAACATTACAAATTTTTCACCTAATAAAACCAAACATAATTTATACATTTTCTCATTCAAAGAAATCAAAGTTTTCCGACGCGGGAGCGTCCGTTTGAATTAAAACTACTTGGCGGGCAACAATTGCAATAGTTTTAGTTTTCCTCGTTGCCGTCCGCCAGGGTACAGAGCGCTGCTATCGCTCAGTCTACAGGTTACAACAACAATCAAGATAAGACAACTTAACTTTCACTCTTGAAAATACGGCAAACCGATTGTAAAATAAAGTCAGACATTTTCATTTAGAACCTTTCAGAGCAAAGTATTACATTTCTTAGCCTAAATACATGCTGTTAGTACCCAAATCTTACTTTAACTAACCTTATATGACCTAGTAATCCTGAATCACAAAATTGTATAAAAACCTATGTCAAACAAATTTTAACATTAAACTCTCATTTCCCTGTATATTCCCGAAAGTGCGCTTAAGGCGAAACCAAAATGGAGCATAATTATAATGTTTGTGTGCTAAAAGTTGCAAAAATAACAAGTGTCAATATTCACTGTGATGTACCATGTGTGTCCCGGGCCAAGTAAGTACCAAGTGTGAAGTGTGAAACTAAATAAAAACAGAAAATAAGTGTGAACATTCATACCACAGACGTGCTAACCTTTTGCTAATCCCATTCATCAAACATTCATCCCTAGCATTCACTGATTCATCCATCCTCGATCATTAACGAGAGTTTAATTTATTCGATTTATCATAAATAAGCCAACTTGACTCTAAAACCTTTTTTTTACCAAAGCATTTATTAATTTTAGGTCATATTCAGTTATGTCTGCCGTATTTAAAAAATTCTTAACTGAAACATGATTTGTCCCTAATTCTTATTCTGGACAGTAAAAATAAATAAAATCACAAAATATGGAATTGCCTTTCATTTGACAGGTTTATGATTCCAAACAAACAAGATACGGACAGTAGTAGGAATCCTTTCTCGTTATCAGTGCCCTAATGATCCTACCAAACAATCACGGTCAACTAGTTCTCAACTGTTTCGTTTACCCTCAAACAAATCTTATGTAAAACCTTATGTACAAATTCAAAATTGCAAATAAAATGTTCAGTCTGATTTAAAATTATTTACTAACATTACATGATCTTTACCCTACAATGCGTTAAATAAAAACATTTTATTTTTGAGAGGAATAAGGAATAACGGAAAAGAAGGAATCGTATTCTTTAATCTATTCTTCATTCCGTCTTCGTTTGTCTTCAGTTCCAGTCTTCATTGTTGTTCATCGACAATATACTCCTTTTATGTTATAATCCATGTAATCACGAAATATTTTTGTAACTGCCTTAGATCTTGCTATTTAATAAATGTCACCTTTGTTAATCATTCTCAATAATAGAATAACTTAGTTGCCTTCTCATTATTACAAAATAAATAGATACTCCTTTCTTTGTTTACTATTTACACTCAGCCGTACAATGCATCCAGTCTCAATTGTGATCTAACGACTGTTATACTAATTGCAGCTTATACTGAGATAACTTTAGTTAGCGGTGCCTTTATAACTATTCATATAAATAGGCGTCGCTATTTTCACCAATTCTTGTTATTGACGATATCACCTTATCTTTGTTCACCAACGTAAATAAACATTCTGAAACTCATTTTAGCGCATACTTTTATGCTCATAAATCCTTCTGCTCCTCCGAATTCCTTATCTTCATACAATCTCCTTCATTACTCCTTGAATACACATATCTATGCGAATTTTTTATTCACTCCAATGTATCCATAGTGGTTATATTTTACTAATACAAATAATATGTACACTGTTCTTCATGATCTCAGTTTCTTAGCCTAAACATTTCCTAATCTACTATTTACAATTTAAGGATGTTTATTTACAATAGGATTTTTTTTTTTAATTCATGTCTGACAGTATTTGGAGACACATACTTTGTACCTAATCACACATACAGTTTTAGTTCAGATATGTGAAATTTCCTTACGTCTAGGACGTTATCGCATCGTTGAATTATGGTTGTATTGGGGCTTACAAACCAGACAATGCGCCAGGGACCGTCATATCTTGGGGCTAGTTTCTTACTGAATTTGTTTATCTTTTTACTTAAGTAGTGTGTTTTCCAAAATACTATAGAATTCACTTTGAATGGATGTCGGATTCGTTTCTCCGAATATTTCTCACGTTTGTTGCTACGTGCGATGCTAGACTTAACATTTCGTAAGGCCTGAGTTAAATTTTTGACTTTATCATCACGACTTAAGTTCTCACTCAATAAATCATCCAGGTTCCATATGTTTGAGAGGGCGTTACGGGGCTCGTGGAAAAACATGAGCGAAAATGGACTGAAACCAGTGGACGAATTTTTCGCTGTATTTAAAGTCATCTGTATTAGCGGCAATTCAGCGTCCCAGTTAGATTGTTCATTGGCATAATAACACTTAAGCAAAGTGCCTAGATCTCTTAACTGTCGTTCCACACGATTAGCTGAGGGTCTGTACAGGGCAATCAGGTGATGTGTTACATAATTTTTGAACAGGTAGGCTTTAAACTGTTGCGAAGTGAAGTAAGTGGCATTATCAGACACTAAAGTGCGTGGTACTGAAAATAATCCAAAAATTTGATCCAACTTAGCTATTATAGCTTTGCTATTCACTTCCTTCAAAGCGAATGTCCAGGAGAATCGAGTGAATGCATCTAACACAACAAAAATATATTTATTTCCTCGAGTCGTGCGTGGAAGTGGGCCTAAAATGTCACAAAATAATGTTTCAAAAGCAGATGTGACTGGTCTCGATACTAACTTTCCTTCGTATTTTCTTTGAGCAGGTTTAGACATCATACATGTGCGACATTCTTTAATTTTACCCCTAATAATACGCTCCATGTCTGGTCGATAAAAATACTGTTCGATTTTTGCCACCGTCCGTGCGATGCCAAGATGTCCTCCATTTAATCCATCATGAAAAAACGTATATGCAACGTTTATTAACCTCTCGGGTAAATAAATCTTGTTTCCTCCCTTAGCTCCTTTGTACATCAATAGTTCGTTCTTCATAACGTAGTTTAATTGATTGGTACCGTCGTTTATACTCTTCATGATCCTCTTGCATTCCTTATCTTGACGTTGATGGTATTTCAGGTCCTTCATAGCCATAGGTATCTTGCTGATAAAGTTGACTCTTCCATGTTGTTGTACAGGGTGTTCTCTGAGCTCTTTAATTAACACATTCAGCTGTTCTACCGGGTTAGGTGCGCTTTCACTGCCATAAGTAACTGTGTTATTTCCAGATGCTTTGATTGTTTTACTCTCCGAAGTCTCTTCAGGTAGCTCGTAGAGTCTTGATAGGGCGTCCGCTATTACGTTCTCTGTCCCAGGTTTATGAACTACGTTGAATGGAAGTGCTAGTAGTCGTTCTACCCATCTGGAAAGGCGTCCTAATTTATTCTTGGTGTTTAACACGTAGCTTAATGCCTGGTTGTCCGTCACTAAGGTGAAGGGTTGAGGTGATAAGTAAGCGTTCCATTTTTCCATAGCCAATACTGCTGTATACGCTTCTTTCTCGTAGATGGAATAACGCAGTTCGTTCTCGGTGAAGGATTTACTATAAAAAGCAAT